TTCATGTATTGTGCCCAGTGTTTAACATAGTACCTGGCCTGTGTGGGTTCTGGATAAATTTGTTCAGTTCTCAGAAGAAGGAAATCATGACATTCAATGATTATCGTAGATACTTGCTTCAAAGTCTGATTCAGTCATCTGTAGTGTACTTGCCTATGTATAGATCATCCCATATCTTGCTGTTGTGCATATGTGGTGTATATATGTATTTCTTGAGCCCTAAACTGCCCTGTCTATAGGCTAGCAACCCTCTGATGCATTTGTGCACCAGGAAGACAAGCATGAATGTTTCTATTAGTGGAAGTTAGATACAATTCAGCATGTTGAGGTTTTTCTTGCATGACATTTGCATACAACAGAGTATACAGATGTGTCGGTATCTATATCAGTTATCTGTACATCTGCTGAGCCCTTTGAAGCAGACATTTTTTTTCCTTCCATTTATTTATTTATTGCATTTTAGGTTTTGGGGTACATGTGAAGAACATGCAAGATTGTTGCATAGGTACACACGTGGCAGTGTGATTTGCTGCCTTCCTCCCCATCACCTACATCTGGCATCTCTCACCTTGCTATCTCTCCCCAACTCCCCAAAAACAGACATTTTAATGTTGACAGTAGTTGGATGAATATGTGAGAGAGGGATGAATAGCTGAGCTGCCCATTTTGGGGAATGGGTGGCACAGGGAAGATACCAGTTCACACTGGAAAGGCTGTTTCTCTGCAAATCAGTCTGCCAATGCTCAGAAATCCTGGTTTAGTTTCAGAAGCCAGGTATCTGCTTGGATGAGGCTCAAGGAAGAGATCTGGAAAATACCCAGGGCTTCTAATATTAAGGGCTTTCAAAACCAGCAAGGCTAACCTCCGGTCAATTCATCACTTCATAAAGAGCCAAATAGAGACTCTAGAGTAGATGTAATGTTATCCAGCTTGCTTACATGAGCCAGCAGTTGTGCTGCTGGGTTCTACCCCAGCCTTGAGCTACAGAGAATCGTTGGGCATCATAATTAAGTGATGTGGGCCCAAGAACATCTGTTGCTATTGCAAAGTCTTCATGAGCAATTCTCACACAAAAAGAAGCATTTTTTACAAATGCTGCAGCTGCATGAGCAGGGTAGAGAAGGGGTGGGATGGGTGAGGGGCTTCTGTGTGGTGTAAAGATGAAACATTCTTCCTAAAAAGCCTGTAATCCTGGCTGACTTCCCTCTGTTGGTAGAATGAGAGAAAGTTTGCAAGATACTTTTCTGGGTTCACCTAAAAAAAATGAAATAAGTGGGTGTTTGGATTTCTGCTTTAGTAAATGTGTACATCCTCCATATTTTGTTCAGTTCTGGTTTGGAATAAGTAAGCTGCATTTGCAGCATGTGTAGACTTTCCCCACCCCCAACTCACACCCCTTTCAGCATAACAGATGGTAAATTCTGTGGCTGCCAGTTCTAGCATAATGTGGTTGCAGAAAATAGAAAGCAAAGCAACATGAAGACCCCTGATAGAACACAGCTGGGGGTGGGAGACAGCTTGTGAATCTGCTGCTGATGATAGCCATCGGGTTACTGTGAACACTCATAGCTGGACTACAGAAATGGGCAACCTGCATGTTGGAATAAAACTGACATTGAGACCTGTTATTAACCTGGACCTGTCTACCTGGGCCTTAATAGCAGAGAGCATGGACCTAACGTCTTTGTTCTGGGTGACTACTACAAGCCTACCTAAAATTGTCATGCATCGCATTAGTGGTTGCATATGATGTCAACTGGTGGCCTTTTTCAAATCTGACTAGACAGAGCATTGTTCCTGTTTAATGCTTTTGTCTTCCAAAGTCTCACTAAAAACTCTGGCTAATTTGACTGAAGTGAGAATTGAATTAACCTCTAATTCCTTCAGGTAGAGCTTTGAGAGCTGCTTAGAGGTACCCCAGTGACATTAATTAGGAGCGACATTCCCAAGTACCAGCTCTTAAATGAAGACAGGTTTTTATAAGGTGTCTCACATTTTTCAGAAATGACAAATTAAGAAATATGTAATTAATTTGAGAGTGAAGCACCAGATATATTTCACTTGGTAATCATGACTCAAGAGTTTGAACCTAGTAGGAAACTAGGTTTCTTCTTGTGCCTTATGCTATATTGTGCATTGTTGAGGAAGGTAGACAGACCAGTAGGGGTGGTGAGGAAGTCCAGAACAAACAGAAGCCCATTCTTGAAAATGAGAGGAACATTCCTGAAACAGCCGGCTGGAAGTCTCCTATCATTAAGGGTTATGATGTCTGATGTAGTCCACTTGGGTTGGGGAAGGATCTATGAAAAGCCTATATGAGAATTTAGAACTCTACCATTTAAAATTTTAAACACCAAAAAAAATCATAAATGTTGTTTATTTCAGGTGGAACTAGAGACTATATTGGACAGAATTATTATTTTATACAGAGGATGGATCACCATAGGGAAACCTTAATCAAATAAACGCCTTCTCCTTTAGGATCTGTGGTCCAGCCTAACTCATTTTGATTGGGTGGGGGATCCTAAGTCAGGATTTAGCAACCAGCTTTGCGAATTTAACACATGTACTTGCATCAGGTTCTCTTGCCAGAATGCATTTACCCATATGCGCAGGGATAGTATAACATTTCAGTGGCTCTTTAGAGACTGAAAGGGAAAACTGAACCATGAGCTTCTTACTTTTTTATTTTAAAACATTTTAAAAGGATGGAGAAGGGCAGAGAATAGTATAATGAATACCCATTGCACAGGACTATCATTTCTCTTGAAATTCAAAAATAAGGAATGCAGCAGATTCAACTGAAAGCTGTCACCATGCCTAGTCCCATTCCCCTCCCTATCTCCCAAGAGACAACTACTATCTTAAATGTATATTTCTTCTCATTTCATATTTTTATACTGGATGTATCATAAAGCATATAGAAATACATGAGATGTTTTTGTGTACAGAAGATATTTGATATATCTTCTGCAACTCATTCAACATGATGTTTTTAACATTTATGTTGATACATATGGCTTTATTCATTTTCACTGCTCTATAGTGTAGTATATGAACATACCATGATTTATTATTAAAAATGAGGAACCTTTTGTATATATCATCTTTTATACGTTACTAGAGATTCTCTGGGTACATACACCTAGAGGTAGAATTGCTGAGTCATAGGAAATTTACATATTCAATTCTAATAGAAGTTTATTTACAAAGCAATTATACTGATTTTTACATCCGTCAGTAGTTTATGAGAGTTCCTGGCTCCCAGTATCAGAGTTTTTCAGTTTTTGCCAGTCTGATAGGTGAGAATATCTCATTGTTTTAATCTGGATTTTTCACGTTACTTGACATCATAATTTTTTAGCTGTTGAAAATTGAAATTAAAAACATCCAGAGGGATGAAATTTCAATGTATTTATCTGACAGGTTAGCAATCAAATATGATTTAAAATTGTACTTTATTCATATAGCACTCCTAGGGAATAAGATAGTCCCAATATATATATATTTTTTTTTGAGACGTCTCACTCTGTAGCCCAGGCTAGAGTGCAGTGGTACCATCTTGGTTCACTGCAACCTCCACTTCCTGGGTCTGGGTTCAAGCAATTCTCCTGCCTCAGCCTCAGCCTCTAGAGTAGCTGGGATTATAGGCATGTGCCACCATGCCCAGCTAATTTTTGTATTTTTAGTAGAGACAGGGTTTCACCATGTTGACCAGGCTGGTCTTGAACTCCTGATATTTTGATCCGCCCACCTCAGCCTCCCAAAGTTCTGGGATTACAGGTGAGAGTCATCCCAAGATATTAAATTTTAAATTATTACTGTAAGAGTTAGAAATTACTTTTTAAAGTTTTAGCTGCTTGTGATGAATATCTATCTCTACAATATGTTATATATCCCTGTTTTATGAAATTCAAGATATATTGAATTCAGTCCTTATAATAATAAATATTAGGTTTTTAAAAAAATTCAGGCTGGGTGTGGTGACTCATACCTGTAATCCCAGCACTTTGGGAGGCTGAGGCAGGTGGATCACCTGAGGTAAGGAGTTCAAGATCAGCCTGACCAATATGGTGAAACCCCGTCTCTACTAAAAACACAAAAATTAGCCCGGTGTGGTGGCACACACCTATAATCCCAGCTACTTGGGAGGCTGAGGCAGAATTGCTTGAACCTGGGAGGCAGAGGTTGCAGTGAGCCAAGATTACGCCACTGCACTCCAGCCTGGGGGACAAGAGTGAAACTCCATCTCAAAAAAAAAAAAAAAATCATTAATGCCTTCAGGGCCTATTGATACAGGAGATATTTGTTTCTATACTAGATACCCTAAAAGGTCCTTATGCTCTAATAGTTATTTTTGCCTTTTATGGTCTTGCCTCCCAAAGCGTTTTCAGTGAGTTCTCCTACATTTTTAAATTAAAAATCAGTTTATATAAATGATATGTGCTTATTATGGAATATTTTACCTTTTCTCCTTTTAACTTGGTCCCTTCCCCTAGTCAGAATTCTGAGGACACACGGATCACTTTTTCTTAGGTGAGAGTGCGTGGCATGTGGCTGCCTTTTGCCATCATGCAGTAGTCTTTCCATCCCTCACAAGTATGTGCCAGTGTTCTGGATAGTTGAAACTGTTTAGAATCAGGTTTGTAGATGAGTGGCTGTGTACTGCATTAGCCAACATAAAAAGAGGTACAAACATTCTCTTAAAGAATGAATGTATTTTAACTCAAGGATGTTAAATTGGTCTATTATTTAGGAGATCATTAACAGGAAGGTGACTTATATCTTAGGAGGTCTGAGAAAATTGGCCAGATACAAATGGCACAAACCCCATGCTGGTTGAGCAGTATAAGTTCTGTATGACCATTGATGCTTTCAAAGGTTTCAAATTTTGTTTGTTTTCAGAAAATTGCTGCTGTTTATAAGTTTGCTCGTCCTTGCCTTTTCAAACTTAAAATTTATGATTTAAGTTTAACATTTCTTTTTCTCTCTCATTTCAGTGTGACAAAATAATGCAAGAACGAGATGAAGCTGTCAAAAAACTGGAAGAATTTCAGAAAAGTACGTAAGCATTTCAGTGGAATTATTGTAACTCATAGAGGGTTTGGGGGATTATAGACATATACCCGGTTTAGTTGATGATGTCCTGGTCATACAATCAGGAAAGCAAGAATTCTTTCTATTTGCCCCAAAATGCTCAGGAATCACTTTAAGCTTTACAGAAATGGAATAAGCATTATTGTTTTATCAATGATGTTAGAAAAACCTGTACTTGTTATAAAACAGTTTAACTATACAGAAAAGTTAAAGGAGAACAAAAATGGCTTGTTGTCTTGGCTTCTTGAAAAAAACCAGTGCTAGTACTTTATTTTTAAGAGTGTGAATGTTTGAAATAGCCCTCTCACTGAAGAAAGTTAGATTCCCACAAAAAGTGTACTTTCCAAATTTTTGCTACGTTACTTTTTTAGGTGATGTAAATCTGTTATTACTTTATCCCTAAGACAACATAGCTGATCAGACCCAGAAGAATCAGATGGAAATATGTCATAGGCACAGGGTCAGACTGAAGCAGGGAAAATGGCCCCCTCCCTTGGAAGCCTTTCTCCATCATTCTGCAGATACTCTGTCAATCAGGATATTTGAAGATATTATAAAGAGTTGACGTGGTAACTACACAGCAGAACATTTTATTCTAGGCAAAACAGCCATACAAAGGCAATATGATGGTTAAATTTCAACAGTAAGTTTATTTCAGTGTCTGGTTGTAACAAAGAACATCCAAGGGGAATCTTGTTGATATTACCTGTCTTTGGAGGCCAATATGCTATACTAGAAATACCTCTTAGTTGCAAATGTGTGAATTCCAATTATATGGTACTTATGAAATATACTTACTCTGAGTCACATCTTAAACAGTTATACCATTGGCATTGTTACCAGTTAATATACTTGAATTATTGATAGTGGATTGGTATACAGTGAAGATAGTTCAAGTTCCTTATGTTTGAACTTACAAAACATTTTGATCTAGGTAGGCAGTAGGGACTTTGCTTCCTGCATTATACAAAAGCAGAAGCAACTTTCCGGAGTGTCAACCTTCGAAGTAACATGTACATTCTGCTTTCATCTGCCATTTCTCTTTTCCCTTTCTTTGTCTCTTCCTCTGAATAACTTTGATAGTTTTAAAAATTTACATTTTTTCTTATGAGCAACTCAAATTGAAGCCTGAGAGGATTGATTGGAAGATTAGTACAACAATCTGTATTGTTGTATTCATTTAGTTTTTACATTTACTAAGTGTGTTTAATTAATTTAAGATTTGGATGTTAGGAAAACAGTGCTAATTCTTTTTTTCTTTTTTCTTACTCTCCTGGTAACTCACAGAACAACAGAGTGCCAACTGTTTACTCATTCTCCAAAGAAAACTTTATGTATTTGTCAGAAAACTGTATCTGGGATAAATAATTCCTGGCTTTTGAGCAGAGGGTAGAATTTCAGATTTGGAAGGGAGTGAGGCAGTATTTTATCAGCGGTGAAGAGCATTCATTTGTGTAAATCCAAGTTTCTGCATTAATAAAATTGGCGTAAATGACCTTGCTTCATTGGCCATTTGATGGTTTAAAAAAAAAACAACACAAAAACAAAACCATAATCTGTATAAAAAATGCTTAACACTGTATGTACCTGGCATATAGTAAGTGCTCGATAAATGTTAGTTGCTGCTACTACCGTCTCATCTACTAAACTATCCGGTACCTGACTGCCCTTCAGTATTGAGTTCGTATCATTTACCTTTAGGGAATAAGTTCCTTGACACCAGACTCCACATTTGGACAGTGGTGGAAGAAACGTCTGTTTTGGTGCTGAGTCGAAATCTGAAGATCCCTGTAATGTTTACCTACTAGGTCTACATCTCTTTTTTTTTTTTTTTTTCTTTTCTTTTTGAGACAGAGTCTCGCTGTGTCACCTAGGCTAGAGTGCAGTGGCGTGATCTCTGCTCACTGCAAGCTTCACCTCCTGGATTCAAGCAATTCTTGTGCCTCAGCCTCCCAAGTAGCTGGGATTACAGATGTGTGTCCCATGCCTGGCTATTTTTTGTATTTTTCGTAGAGACGGAGTTTCACCATGTTGACCAGGCTGGTTTTGAATTCCTGCCGTCAAGTGATCCTCCCACCTCTGCCTCTCAAAGTGCTGGGATTGCAGGTGTGAGCCACCACGCCCAGCCTAGGCCTAGGTCTTGAAATGTAGAGAAACAGCTGAATAAGGGTTAAGAAAAGCTTTGTTTGGCCATAGGGCTCTGCTATCCCTAGCTTAGCATACTTTTCCCAGGATAAGTGTTTTTATCCATATGTCCGTGTCATTGTTGATCCTCTGCTAGTTCTCTCTGAGCCTTCCTCCTAGTCTTTCTGCACACAAAGAACACCACCACATAGCACAGACACATTCCCTAGGTAGATTCCTGTGAAAGGAGAAGTAACTGAAGACCTTTCATACCTTTTCTTTTTCTTTTTTTTTTTTTTTTTTTGAGATGGAGTTTTGCTCTTTTTGCCCCAGCTGGATGGAATGCAATGGCCCAACCTTGGCTCACTGCAACCTCTGCCTCCCAGGTTCAAGTGATACTCCTGCCTCAGCCTCCCGAGTAGCTGGGATTACAGTCTCACGACACACCCAGCTAATTTTGTATTTTTAGTAGAGATGAGGTTTCACCGTGTTGGCCATGCTGGCCTCAGACTCCTGACCTCAGATGATCTGCCTGCTTTGGCCTCCCAAAGTCCTGGGATTACAGGCGTGAGCCACCGCACTCAGCCTCTTTCATATCTTTTCAAGGGCACATCGATTTTCCTACATATGTGCCAACTTTCATGGCTGTTTCCTTACCACATGGAAAACCTTTAGAGTTGTCTGATGTTGAAGAAGAATTTGTGATACGTTCACCACATATGCTTTAGAGATATTCTACATCTAAATATCGCTAGGCATTGGAGTTCGGAGAGGAGGTTTGCGCTAGAAGCAACATCATTGGTGGTGACAGCTTGTATAATGGATTAGAAAGGACTATAGAAAAGTAGAATCACCTAGGAACGGTTTTAGCTGGGCTTTACCGATTAAAACTCTGTGATTTGGAATATGTTATTTAATTTCTCTGGGCCTCCATGTTCTCAAATATAAAATTGCTATGATGATCCCTACGTTATAGGATTATGATGAGGCCTCATGAGGGAGCACGTGTAAAGAGTTAAGCATGAGGCTGGACTCATGGTCAGTCTCAACAAATGGTGATGGTAGTTGTTTCCTAAGAAATTCTATACAACAGAGAACATTCTTATAAAAGGCTGTTCACCGATGAGCTTAGGCCTTCGGTCCTTTAAATAGGCACTAACACAAGCACCTACTTTGCATGTAGCATTGTGCTTAGGTGCAAGTAAAACAAAATCCCTGCTCTAATGTTCATAGTGAATAGAAGATAAAAACAAGTTAAAAAAAACCAGTTACCCTACAATGTGATGTGTGCTACACTGCCACATATGTAAGACTGCTTTGAAGTCATAGATGAAGAGAGACAAACTTTGCTACTTTTAGTAGTCTAATAGAAACAATAGTTGATGTACTTTTATGTTATACTTCTGAGTTCTCAGGGTCATTAAAATTTTTTTATTACAAAAAAATTCTAAGTTATGCAAAGGCGAGAAAATAATGGAATGAACCCCCATGTTCTAGTTATCCAGTTTCAACAGTTGCCAGCTCACAGCCAGTCTTCCACCTGTACACTCATACACCCACTGTCACTGACCTCAGATTGTTTTGCAACTAATTCCAGTCATTGTATCATTTTATTGTTTACTGCCTGCAAATATTTCAGTACCTATTTCTTTCTTCTTCTTCTTCTTTTTTTCCTGAGATGAAGCCTTGCTCTGTAGCCCAGGCTAGAGTGCAGTGGCACGATCTCAGCTCACTGCAACCTCTGCCTCTAGGATCCCAGTTCAAGCAATCTCCTACCTCAGCCTCCCAAGTAGCTGGGATTACAGGCACAAGCCACCATGCCCAGGTTTAGTAGAGATGGGGTTTTACCGTGTTGTCCAGTCTGGTCTTGAACTCCTGACCTTGTGATCCTCCTGCCTCAGTCTCCCAAAGTGCTGGGATTACAGGTGTGAGCCACCATGCCCAGCCTTCAGTATATATTTCTAAAAGATTAGGATTATTTTCTTTTTAACGTAACTGCAGTATTAGGGACACTTTATTAAAAGTTCATCTTTTTTTCTTTTTTAAACCTCTTGTCATCCAAATATGCAAATATGACAGGTACAGTGGTCATGGATTGTGGTTATCCTGAGACAAGCCCAATTCAGAACCATAAGGCAAATTATTACATGAATAGCTAAATGTTTAGAAAACTTTTACTCTTTGAAATGTGCAAATAAATTTACATATTAAAAATACTTTTGTGTCATGTGAGTTGACTTTTGGTTTTGGAAATGGGGTCATGCTTTGTAAAGATATAATCACCCTTTGAAATACATTCTTTCCTTTTGAACCTAGAAAGTTGGCAACTAGGTTTTGATGCTACAAATTTAGCATTGGAAGAATTTCTTAAACTAAAAATTAATGTGCAGTTTTAAAAATGTCTACTGTTCTCTCTTTAAGAAGAAGTAAAAACACCACCAGATGGAGTATACCAAATCAGAACTGGAGAAAATATGAACAAGGACTACGCAGCTATATTTATCAAGTTAAATCACAGGGCACCTTTTTACAAAATGTTTAGAAAATAAAAGTTATTTTTTTTTTCTTTCCTGTTGCTGGACCTAAACCTCACTACTGTGGAATGAATTTTCCTGCTCTTTCAAGAGCAAGAATGTTATTGAATAAAAAGTCAGATTCCTGTGAAAAATGCAGGGTGTTTATGTTTTTGTTATGATAGTGGAAATACCAGATTGTGGCAGAAGATGTCAAGTAGTTAAGGCTAAAAATTCAAAGTAATATTTGATGTTGTAAAAATTGTATAGGTTTCTTTTCTCTTTCCTTCACACTTTTGAAGAACCTACCTTGTAAACATAGTGATAAAATGCCAGGAATATTAGGATTTTAAGGAAATAATAGAGCCTATTATTTAAACTACAATATAAAAGGCAATTATATTGATGAAGAGCTACATGGGCTTTGTGTGTGTGAATAAACTTGGCCTGTGTTCAGCTTCTATTTGTTCTTCTGGCATAAACACATATTGTGTGTGATTCCAGTTTAATGGGGACCCGTTTGTATGCCAAGCAGCTGCATTTTAGGACCTATTGCGTGATTTCATAGCTCTCTGAAAATTGGTTCTATTCAGAACAAGAGATAGAAGAGAAGAAGGGGGGTGACGTGGAAGGGTGGGGGGGAGCTTCAACACACAATCATTTCTTTTCAATTGGAGCCAGAAAGGTTGATGACAACATGACCATTGTGTTATAATGATAAGACCACTAAGGCATCTGTACCTCTCATCAAGGCTTTCACACAACAGCAGATACAATTTAATTCACTGCTCTGTCAGCAGTGCTGATACCATTATGCCGTCTGTCTCCACAGTTATAATCACTGTCCTCTGAGAAATGCAGTTGAAATGATCTTGAGCAGTCAAAGAAACTCTCAATTAAGGCTGCCACTTCCAATGTGTCAGATTGTGTCTTATGCACTTGGTACAATTTTCACTTCCAATCCTGTTTATTTACAATGTCTACCAGTAATTACGCTTAACGTGTCATTTAGTGAGGGGGGCCCCTGCCAAGCCGATTGTTGGGTGCTGCTGTACCATTGAGTGGGAGTTTCTCGAAGTCAATGCCATCAGCAGCTTTTAGGCCCTGATGGGATGCAGTAGTAATGTTGATAATGCAAGTATCGTGCTCATCAAGTCATAATTAGATGCCACTCAAATGTGCCACTTGTAATAACAGTGTTGATTCATGTTTTTCTCGGTGACTGCAACTACTAATTAGTTAAGTGGTTTTTGGTTGGCCTGCATTTGCTGCAGATTATTATTACCCCTGAAAAAATGTCAAGGTTAGAGATGTTTCTGGCCATTTAGTGCTGCTTTATGAATTTGAATATTAACATAATAAGAACTTTGGACAGACTTAGGAAGTAATACATTTTTGTATTTAATTTGGAGAGAAATTTTTCCCCTGAGTTTAATCATAATTGCAGGTTAATTAAGCTTAAATGAAGCAAAAGTAATCTCTCTTTGTGTTATGTGAGCCCAGTGCTTTTTGCCTAACTTTGTTGGGTTTCACATTTGGGTGTCCTTTATTTTTTTTTTTAAGCCAAACAAATGTCAATAAGTAACATCTACATTTAGGGTTGAGATTCTGAGAGTTTTCATTTAACTAGAAATATGGGTGGAAGGAATTGGCATTTTTCTGACTTGATCTTCAAAATATAACTCAGCTTCTAAATCACTTTGAACTTGTATATCTCAGTTTACATGCACCACCTATGAAAAAAATCTAAAAATTACTATTTTCAAGCATTGGTAAAATACCAAGTAAAATTTTATTTTTTTCTAATGCCCCTGATAGCCTGTGATTCAAGAAGCAATTTATTAGCATCACCTTTGTAACCATATAGTACATAAATCTTATTGCTACACTTTTCTGCCCAAGAGTTAGGAAATAGCATTAACTACTTTGTAGCTAATAGAGACTAATGTTGCAGTACTTAACCAAGTTGCCCCATCATTATTCCAGTCATAAGATCAATTTAAGATTTATTTTTTATTAATTTTTCTCATTAGAGCCATGTGTTATATCCTTCTAAGATAAAGAAGTCATGCTGTCACTTATCTTTATTTATGAAATGTTCTTTTGTTTAAATTAGCAGATATGTCTATGGATACATATAGAGTTGCATAGAAAATGGACACGTAAAAATATCTAAATAGCTCTCTTAAAATGTATGTATGTGAAATGAATGTTTTCCATTGTGTACTTGTTTCTTTCTACGTTCAAATATTAGCTCAGATTTAATCAGGGCAGCTTCTCAAAAACCTTTTTTCAGTGACAGCTAAAGGTCTGGCTAGCTAAAGAATTGAAGTATTCTTAATCATGGGACGATGCGTGGGCTCCTGGAATAGCTGACTAATCTTTGAATGCTGAGACTTTTTTCCCCCTCATTCCTAGTTTCTCACATGGTCATAGAGGAAGTTAATTTCATGCAGAACCATCTTGAAATAGAGAAGACTTGCCGAGAAAGTGCTGAAGCTTTGGCAACAAAGGTGAGACTTCCGATGTGAAGGAATTTTACCTGAGCTTTTAAATTTCAACTTGCTTTTCTAAGCAGCGGCTTCTGTCTGGTTTTGCTTTTCTACTTCCCTAATGGATTATCTACTCTGATGATGAGGGAAATGCTAAAAGGACTCAGAATCCTGGAATATGATTATGTAAATATTCGCCTTCATGCAAAGGTTATTCCAATTGTAAAAGGAGCATTTGTATGTGAGTATTTCAGTATTTGTGCTTTTTGCCTGTGAAAATGTGGAAAAAATGGTCCCAGTGTTAAACGGGACTTTGCAAATGTCCATGAATTTGGTTAAAATGCTAACCAAGTTTAAAACTCACCTGGTGTGACATAAAAGAGCAGTGAATGTCTCATATTTGAATCAGATGAAAAAGTCACCCTGCAGCCTTACATTTCAGGTGATTATTTGTGAAAGCAAAGCAAGGGCATGCTAAAGGTGACCTCCAGTGTTCCACTGATTGCCTCTCGCTGATGAATTTACCAAGTGTATAATTTTCTATATTCTGTCTCATCAGAAGTACATTATTATTAAAGAATGTTTTTATCTCTGTCTTATGTATTTTGGGTTGGGTAAAATGCATCTGAACCACTTCATCAGAAAATGGATTACAGCAATTTTCAACCAAATTTCATTAGTAATGCTGGTTGTGTCCCTTTTCCCTCCCCCCATCACCTACCTCCGAAAATTTCTTTGGATGTGACTGAAATTTTGCTCCCAGTAAATACATAAATAAATATAATTTGTATGAACTAACAGTGTGCTTGCTAAAGGTTATTTACTTAATTGTTTGCATAACAACACCACATTAGAATTCATAAGATATTTAATCAGAACCTAACTAAGAATATAAACTTGTGTATGTAAATTCTCTCCTGTTATTCGTCTGAAGAATACATAGCAATACACTTTAAAAATACTTTTTAAAAAATGATAACATGGATGTGTTCACATCATTTTTACTCTGTTTGCATATCCCTAGAGTTCACTAGTCCAAAATGTTGTGTGAATTCCGTTTTCTTTTTTTTTGAATTTCTTTTTTTTTTTGGAATAAGTAGAGAAAAAGTATATTTGGAGCCTACTACCTGCTCCGAATCTTCTAGTTTCTAAGGATACTGTCTCTATTTTTCCTTTTTATTAACAAGTATTCCTGTTATCACAGCATATCCGGAGTGAGGATACTGACTACCTTTTGAGATTGGCAGAGTTTATTGAAGCCACTGGTTTGTGGGGCAGTATATTCAGGTTTTATTTTTGGTTATATCATTTTGTACATATGTGATTTTGGACAAGTTAGTTTTGTTCTCTGGACTGTAGTATCTCATCTTAAATGACATGATGGACTGGAGGTCATCATTTATTCATATGTGGTCCCCTGCAAAAAATTACTTATTCTGTCTCCCCTTTTATTTAACAGGTGCCTTTGGGCAAGAGAACTTACCTCTCTGAGCTACAGTTGTCTTGTTCTAAATGCCAAGGTGACCATGGTTGCCTTCTTCATAATACCCCAGATCCGCTGGCTCCAGATGTGTGGACCAGGCCTGTGTCTATAGAAAAGCTGCCTGGTGACTGTTATATTCCTTCCTGGTTATGAACCAGTGTTACCTAATCTCTAAGCTCATTTTTACAATTAAGTCTTAACAATAGGATTCTTAACTAACACTGTTTCATCAAAAATAATACTGTATCATCAAAAATAAACTGTCCATTTATTGGACATACAGTTTATTTTTGATGATACAGTATGAACTCATGGGGCCTAGAATAAAAAACAGTCCAAAAATGGATTAAATAAAATACTATAAATGTGCTTGTTTGTTGTGAAAGCCTGCTCTGAATGCAACATGTGCAGACTCCATTGTATGTGTGATCAACAAATGATAATAGCACCTTCTAAGTATCAATTGTCATTTTTGAAAGTAGGCTTCATTTACTGAGAGCAAAGTTTCTGTAAATTCTTATTTTTCTAAATTTTTGCCATCAAATTAATGACAAATGGAATGTTTAATTCTTATCATTCAGTTTGACCTCATAATTTTCTGTTTTTTCTTTTTGAGATGGAGTCCTGCTTTGTTGCCTGGCTGGAGTACAGTGGTGCCATCTTGGCTCACTGCAACCTCCACCTCCCAGATTCAAGAGATTCTCCTGCCTCAGCCTCCCAAGTAGCTGGGATTACAGGCATGTGCCACCACTCCTGGTTAATTTCTGTGTTTTTAGCAGAGACGGTGTTTTGCCATGTTGGCCAGGCTGGTCTCAAACTCCTGACCTCAAGTGATCCGCCTGCTTCAGCCTCCCAAAGTACTGGGATTACAGGCATGAGCCACTGTGCCCAGTTCCGCAGAATTTTCTTAAAAGCGAGTGTGGATACTTTGCTTTGCTAAAATGTGTACATTAAACTGATAAGTGCAGACCAATTATTTAAGTCATATGATCCAAAGCAATTAAACTTGCTGGTTTTGTACCTTTAAATAGTTACTACACTGTGTGCAATATAAAAACCCTATTTACATTTGAATATAATAGGTTCTGTTACTGTAGGATTGGGGTTATAAGAGACACATTTTTGCCTTAGACATAGAGGGGTTTCAAACAACAAGTAGCATGCCATTAACCTGTAGCTTGATAAATAGCTACAATGAAATTGCTTAGCCAAAATTTGTGAATTCAGAATTCTCAAAAATGTCTGAATAGTATACACTTAAGACCTCATGTATAGGCTGGGTGTGGTGGCTCATGCCTGTAATCCCAGTGCTTTGGAAGGACAAGGTGGGAGGATCACTTGAGCTCAGAGAGTTTGAGGCTTTGGTGAGCTATGATCATACCACTGCACTCCAACATGGGTGACAGAGCAAGAACTCATCTCCAAAAAAAAAAAAAAAAAAAGACCTCATATATACAAATCTTACGTTTCTTCTTTCAGAATGTGAAAATGGTGTTTCAGAGAAGACTTACGACATTTTCTGGTTGGCATTTTTTCTTGAGCTGGTGACTTTGTTAACTAGAGTACTTGTATTGCAGACAAACTAGTGGATTTTGGTGCCTGGTTTGATAGAGGCATTAAACCCTTTTGAGGGCAGAACTGTGTTAACTGTGACGTCACTAAGGTATTATTATAGTAGTTTTCTAAGAAGTAATGTATTAAGCACTAGGTCGCAGAAACTAGTAGTTTTGTGAGTATGCTGGAGGAAGAAGAAAATGCATAAATACGTTGATTGAAGAAAACTAGCTGATAAATGAATTCCAAAGGTTAGACACAAACTAAACCTCTTTTCTTACTATTAATAGCCAACACTGAAGTTTTATTATGTGGCAGTTACCATATTAAATACTTTATATATAATGTCTCATTTAATCATCATATTGTAGGGTAGAGACTATCTTAATTCTTAGTTTACCAATGAGAAAACTGAAATGTAAGAATTAGGTTAGTTGTAGAGGCAGAGATGGAATTTTATTGCAGAACTTGGTTGTATACTAAAGCAGTACATTTCTCTACATGAATGATTCTTAGTGTTGATGGACATTAGAATCACCTGGGAAACTGAATAAGTGCTATGCTGGGTTCCACTGCCAGAGATTTTGTTATGGTATAGAGCCTAAGCATTGAAGTTTTTAAAAAGCTCTCCAGACATTCTGATGGACAGAGTTAAGAACGATTAGTTTAAATATTAGGATACAGAACCAGAAATTCAGTCTGAAATATTTTCACTTTTGTCTTAAATTGATGTTTTCTTCTGACAATCAGAAAAGATGGGATAGTTTGAGAATTGAGAAGTGATGGTCCTTGAGCCTCAAGTGGCATGCTATAGCATTCATGGTTTAAAGAACCCACAACAGTTTTCACCTGAATTTTCCATCTTAAGGAAGAGGGTTTGGGAAATTATGGGCTTCATCTTTTATCTTGATCTTCTAATGTGATGTGGGGAGACAGAAGTTGGAGCTATAGACTGGGACTAAGGACAAAGGGTTGTGAATCGGTTCCCTGAATAGAGCTTGCCAGCCTTCCTCCCAGGATGAATCCATGGAAGCGTTCATAGCCATTTCTCAGAGATTATTCCTGATTCTCCAGAGAGGTCAGGCAAACCACTTGTGCTCCAGACCATGCCACTTCAGGTTCCATATTATTGCTATAGGAATCAAATAGATCTACCAGATTGAAGTGGGCTGGGCTTTCTCTGAGAGAAACCCTGAGGAGCCCAAATTATGATCACAAATAAAAGAGCAAAGTCAAACCAGTACCGTGCTAAATATCTTATTCTAGTGTCAGGTTTACAGTGAGGAAAGGTAGTTACCTTTCTAATGAATTATGTTTATTTATTTCCAATATCAATTATTAAATTCAGAGCTTGTCTTCATGGTTGAGGGCTCTAGTAAATGAAATGCATTTGCATTTCCTTTTTTTTTTTTTAATACTTTTAAGTTCTGGGATACATATGGAGAACATGCAGGTTTGTTATATAGGTATACACTTGCCATAGTGGTTTGCTGCCCTCATCAACCTGTCATCTACATCTACTTAAGGAGGCAGTCTGTCCCTTTGCAGAGCTTGAGCACTGTGTTGGGAGATCTGCTGTCTTCAGAGCAGGCAGGCAGGAACATTTAAGTCTGCTGTAGCTGCGCCCACAGCTGTTCCTTCCCCCAGGTGCTCTGGGAGATGGGAGTTTGATCTGTAAGCCCCACACTGGGGCTGCTGCATTTCTTTCATAGATGCCTGCCCAGAGAGAGGAATCTAGAGAGGCAGTCTGGCTACAGCGGCTTGGCTTTGCTGTGGTGGACTTCGCTCAGTTTGAACTTCTAGGCTTGTTTACACTGTGAGGGGAAAACTGCCTACTCAAGCCTCAGTAATGGTGGATGCTCCTCCCCCCACCAAGCTCAAGTGTCCCAGGTTGACTTCAGACTGTTGTGCTAGCAGCGAGTCAAGCCAGTGGGTTTTAGCTTGCTGGGCTCCATGGGGGTGGGATTAGCTGAGCTAGACTACTTGGCTCCCTGACTTCAGCTCCCTTTCCAGTATAGTGAGCAGCTCTGTCTCACTGGCATTCCAGGTGCTACTGGGGTATGAAAAAAAAAAAAGTCCTACATTTGGGTGTCTGCCCAAATGGCTGCCCACTTTTGTGCTTGAAACCCAGGGCCCTGGTGGTGTAGGCACCTGTGGGAATCTCCTGGTCTATGGGTTGTGAAGACCATGGGAAAAGTGTAGTATTTGGGTCAGAGTGCACCGTTCCTCAGGGCACAGTCCTTCACAGCTTCCCTTGGCTAGGGGAAGGAATTCCCCAACCCCTTGTGCTTCCTGGGTGAGGCAATGCCCCACCCTGTTTTGGCTCGCCCTCCATGGGCTGCACCCACTGTCTAACGAGTTCCAGTGAGTTGAACTGGGTACCTCAGTTGGAAATGCGGAAATCACCCACCTTCTGCATTGATCTCCCTGGGAGCTGCAGACTGGAGCTGTTTCTGTTTGGCCATCTTCCTCCCCATCTCTGCATTTCTACAACTTACATTTTATACTAGGTAAAATAATCTACTGAATACTTTGATGTGCACAAATTAAAGAAGACTGTTTACTTTTTAGTCTTGGGAAGAGAAACTATAAGCAAAATCATGTACTTCTGTGGACATTGGGCATCCTTAGTCTTTGTGTGTGTTTCGTACTAAATTTTCATGCACATAAACACATCAGCTAAAGAAGATGATAATAGTTGAATAACTAAAGTAAAAAAAAAAAAACAACTCATTTCTACATGTGGAAATAAATTCATTAACAAATTAGGATTTCTTTTTTTTTTTTTTTTTTTTTTTTAAAAATTTTCTTTTTTTTTTTTTTTTTTTTTTTTGGTTCTGTGATGAACTGGACTGTGGTTACCAGCAGCTCCTGTCCATCTGAAAGAAACTCATTGCTCTGTTGACAGCCTCCAAATTTCTAGAGAAGGGATCTGATTGGTTATACTTGGATCATGTGATTAATCCCTAGAGTAGCTCGCTGTGGCCAAAGGGCTGGTGTATGCCTGGGAGAGCATAGCTGTCCCATTGAAATCATGTGGAACAACGAAGAGTGGCAATGTCCAGAAAAGAGATGTTAGGCAAACAGACATTTAAATGGTGTTTACAGCACCGATGCAAACAGAAGATTTGCTTGAAATAAAGTGCCTTTATTAAGACTATAAATGACTATAAATAAATCAAAATTTTATTTAATCTGTACTGGTATTTTATCTTAGTTCCTTGTATTTCTTATCAATTAAAACTAGCATTTCCATTTGCTGCTGGCTGTAATCCAGGCATCAGGTCTTGGTTAAAGAAATAAATTTAATATAAAACTTTATTTAATTAATCTGCTAATTGTTTATGTCCCGCTGTGAGTGTTGATGAATATGTAAGACAAAAATATACTTTTTTTGTCTGTTGTTTAAAAATCCAAGATACTCATTTGGCTGCTGTTAAAATAACTGTTTTTGTATTTTGTTTTAGCTAAATAAAGAAAATAAAACATTGAAAAGAATCAGCATGTTGTACATGGCCAAGCTGGGGCCAGATGTAATAACTGAAGAGATAAACATTGACGATGACGATTCAAGTACAGACACAGACGGTGCTGCTGAGACTTGTGTCTCAGTACAGTGTCAGAAGCAAATTAAAGGTAGAACTCTTTGCTTGATTATTGAGCATTTTTTTTTTTACCCCATTAGGACAGTGCTCTGAACCCTGACTACACATTAGAATCACGTGGGAAACTTTGAAAACACTGATGCCTGGGTCCTACCTTATCCCAAATTTTGCTACACCCTAGGCCAATTAAATCAGAATTTTGGATGGCGTAGGACCCAGGCATCAGTATTTTTAGAGCTTCCCACATCATTTATTTATATCTCCAAATCACCATAGGGTGTATACAATTGTGTTTTACGAGTTACTTTCTTGTTTGAAATTAGACACTTTTGAAAGTGTTGTCTCAATGGAAATAGCCAGTTAGACTATAACCTTAAGGATATGTACTAAGTGTCAAGCTATTTTTGTTAAATGAAAGAAAGAAGGAATAAAAATATATTTAGCAACACCCCTTTTTATTGGTTAACAAGCAGTGTTGTAAGGCAAGATCATATGATACTTCTGTTAAATGCACATTTTATTCATACACATGTTTATTTTAAAATGTAGGAAAGCAGTTCTGACTCAATAACTATTGGAACATTTTAATTTAGTACACAGGCCAAAAGCAATATTCATTTATTTGTTTGGTAGATAAAATTTCAACTGGAAGTATAAAGAAGAATGGATGTTACAGACACCATCTTTACCCAACTCTTCAACCCCTCAAGCTAAGGCAAAATAGAATTCATGTTGGTAGGGAGGGAGAGGAAGTTTAAAGGAGTTCCTTTTGCTTGTTATTCTCCTTTCTGTTTTGATCTTGAACAATATGGTTTCATGTTCTTCTTTTTGGATTAGCCAACCAGTGGAGAAAGTGGTTTAGAAATAAGTCTCTGAGAACTTCTTCAAGCTGAGTTTATGTAAAAAGTTTGATTTAATTTACAAATAACCACACAATGTATTTCTTATTGTACTTGGAAAACAGTAAGAAATTAAAGGCAGCTAAAACTTAAGTGGAAAACCAGTAGGCCGGAATATACATTTGAGCAGTCTGTGCTAATCTATGTGTATTTTCAAACAATTAAGTGGCAGAAGTAACTTTAACACCAGAAGCTTTTGCACTTACAGTTGATAATATTTTCTTCCTAGTAACACATTTTTCATTGAATCCTAATAAAACTGTAAAATAAGTTTAAAAACAAAGCACCCATGACTCTAGAGAAAAAATTACTAGAATTAACCCTACTTTCAAATAGTTATATTTTGAATCAGTTCAAATACTAAGGACTATAAATTGGCAGCAAGTCAAGATCTAAAATCTCCAAATTATTAACTGCCCAATGTTTATTTATATTGTGTTGTGATAAGAGCCCGTGGCATTATGAAATAGAAATTAGTACTACACCTTAATTTGTTTTGCTGAAAGATTAAAAAAATTTACTTCCAAAATGCCGGATAGTTTTATACAGAATGCAAAGAAAACATGATCTGATACATTTAAGGTTGCCTGATATAAAATTATTAATACCCATGGCTATATGGCAAAGGGTCACGCAAGTGAGATTCTCATTGTCCTTTGGTTCTTCATTTCCTTTTGATTGTTAAATAATCTTGACCAGAAGCTGCACATGAACTGGCATTTTCAATTATTTTGACCAGATTGACTACTTATTTCATTTTAAAAATAAATTTATTTACATTTTTTTCTTTAAAAATGCAGAACTTCGAGATCAAATTGTATCTGTTCAGGAGGAAAAGAAGATATTAGCCATTGAACTGGAAAATCTCAAGAGCAAACTCGTAGAAGTAATTGAAGAAGTATGTATCTCAGGCCTGAAAGGCAAGGGCTTCAGCATTTTCAAGGTGTTTGGGGATTTGCTAAGTTAAGAACTTACTATTATAAGCCAATTTCTAACATGAGAACCATGTACCAATTTTAATCTTCTCCTCTCCCCTCAATGTTTTTTCTTTCTTTATTATTATTATTATTATTATTATTATTATTATTTGAGACAGAATCTCGCTCTGTTGCCAAGCTGGAGTACAGTGGTGTGATCTCGTCTTACTGCAACCTTTGCCTCCCGGGTTCAAGCAATTCGCCTCCCTCACCTCCCCTAGTAGCTGGAATTACAGGCGTGTACCACCACATCCAGCTAATTTTTGTATTTTTGGGTAGAGACAGGGTTTCACCATGTTGGTCATTATGGCCTCAATCTCCTGACTTCATGATGATCTGCCTACTTCGGCTTCCCAAAGTGCTGGGATTACAGGCATGAGCCAGGATTCCCGGCCTTCCCTCAATTTCGGACATACAAAAAGGTAGAGGAAATAAGATCATGAAGATTAATGTACCCACTGCCTAGCTTAATAAATAAAATTACAAAATAGCATAGGTATGTTTCCTGTTGTTTCCCCATTTTTTGCTATGTAAGGCAAATTTGTAGGAATAGTAGGTACTATTCCAAGTCATGTATTTTATTGCTGCTGGTGGAGAAAGAAGAGCATGTTTTGTTCTTCCAGTGAATGGCTGGTTCAGTTGGGAAGGACTGTTCCTCTGTGTATCTCCAACACAGGTATTTATGATAGGTGGTAGGATGGGTTCAAGTAGTTGTTTACAGAATCTATCTTTTCTGCTGTTTTGTTTTGTTTTGTTTGAAACAAGACCTGACTGTCAGACTCAGGCTGGAGAGCAGTGGCATGATCACAGCTCACTGCATCCTCAGACTTCCAGGCTCAAAATATTCTCCTGCCTCAGCCTTCCAAATAACTGAGACTACGGGCACACATCATCACACTTGGCTATTTAAAAAATTTTTTATAGAGATGTGGGTCCCTGTATTTCCCAGGCTTATCTTAAATGCCTGGACTTGAATGATCTCACTTTGGCCTCCCAAAGTGCTGGGACCACAAACACAAGCTGCTGCACCTGGCCTTTTTTTTCTTTTTGAACTGTCTTTAAGAACAGGACCGCCACAATTGCCTTTTATTTGCATGAGGCTTCAAGGATTTGCCTTCACAGGCCTGATTCTTGATTTAACATGTATCAGTGGTTCCTAGATTCTGTAGACCAGCACTTTCCAACCGATGTGCTACTCCACCTTGATAACCCTCAGGTGCCTTACGAGCATGCCAACGTATTGCTCCTGTCAGCGAGCAGCCTCATCCAGTTACCTCAGTTTGCATACACATATTGTCATTTTCTTGCAGGCCATGATGTAAAAAAGGTCAAGAAGCAGTGACCACCAACTTCCCAGCCTGAGCTGCTTTTATCACTGTGGCAAAGCATTGTAATGAATGGGAAGAAGGATGATGATATTTTGGGAAGGACCTTACTTTTGGACAGTGTGTACCAGTTACTTATTTAAACCAAAACCAAAAATAAAGCCTACACTAAAAGAACCAGTTCATAGACTATCTGGAGATGCTGATGGATTCAGAGCCACTTTTCAGGACCATTATCTTTGTTTCTTGGTGTGCTCTGTTCCTCAGTTGTGGTTATTTCCTGATGATCTCTCCCTTCCCACTTAGAGGTGTTACTGGAAGACAATTCAACAATTATTTTTATTATGACTATTTAAGACATCTGAAAAGGCATAATGAACAAAATAATGGGTCTGAGTTGGGTGGCTCACACCTGTAATCCCAGCACTTAGGTAGGCCAAGGCAAAAGGATCACCTGAGCCCAGGATTTGGAGACCAGCAATACCTCATGGCAAGACCTCATCTCTCCAAAAAATTTTTAAAAATTTTACCCAGGCATGGTGGCATGTACCTGTAGTCCCAGCTACTCAGAGGGCTGAGGTGGGAGGATTGCTTGAGCCCAGGAGTTCAAGGCTGCAGTCAGCTATGATCGTATTACTACCCTCCAGCCTGAGTGACAGAGTAAGACCCTGTCTCTAAAAAAATTATTTGTTTTGAAGAGACAGGTATCTACTACCTAACGTAATTCACGGAGTATTAGCATAGTGATGAAGGTCCTGGTGTACCTCTTTCCAGCTGCTCATTCCTTGCTTCCTGCTCAGTTTCCCTAAACAGATATTATACTAAACTTGGTGTTTATCATTTCAGTGCATATATTTACATGTCCACTACAATACATAGTATTTTGAGTGTTTTTAAATGTTATAAACATACCTGCATTCCAAATTCAATATAATGTATTTGAGATTTATCTACCTTGATATATGTAGCTTTACGTTTTTTTTTTTTTTTTGAGGCGGAGTTTCGCTCTTGTTACCCAGGCTGGAGTGCAATGGCGCGATCTCGGCTCACCGCAACCTCTGCCTCCTGGGTTCAGGCAATTCTCCTGCCTCAGCCTCCTGAGTAGCTGGGATTACAGGCACGCGCCACCACGCCCAACTAATTTTTTTGTAGTTTTAGTAGAGACGGGGTTTCACCATGTTGACCAGGATGGTCTCAATCTCTTGACCTCGTGATCCACCCGCCTCGGCCTCCCAAAGTGCTGGGATTACAGGCGTGAGCCACTGCGCCCGGCTGGTATTCTCTTTCTTTGATAGACATCAAAAGTTATTTCAGAAATTTAAATATTTGTGGGAGTATTTATATGTATTTTATTTAAGCCAAGAGTCATCAAAGTTCAAAGTATTCTTTTATTTTAAAAGTTCATGTTTGTCTTATTTAAGTCAAAAGTAATCAACATTTGGCTGGGCGCAGTGGCTCACACCTGTAATCACAGCACTTTGGGAGGCCGAGGTGGGCGGATCACCTGAGCTCAGGAGTTCAAGACCATCCTGTCCAACACGGTGAAACCCCATCTCTATTTAAAAAAAAAAAAGAAAAAGAAAAAAATATATATAGTAATCAACATTTAAAATGAACATCAAAATTGAGTATCAGATCTTGGCTAAATGATTCTTGTATTTTCTGGGTGATTTTTTTTTGAGATGGAGTCTTGCTGTTGCCCAGGCTAGAGTGCAGTGATGCGTTCTTGGCTCACTGCATGCACTCTGCCTCCCGGGTTCAAGCGATTGTCCTGCCTCAGCCTCCTAAGTAGCTGGGATTACAGACAGGTGCCACCATACCTGGCTAATTTTTGTATTTTTAGTAGAGATGGGGTTTCACCATGTTGGCCAGGCTGGTCTCGAACTCCTGACCTTGTGATCCACCTGCCTCGGCCTCCCAAAGTGCTGAGATTACAGGCGTGAGCCACTGCGCCCAGGCTCTGGGTGATCTTTAGTTGGATTTTTGCATTAAAAATATGAATCATGGTGCCGGGTGCGGTGGCACGTGCCTGTAGTCCCAACTATTCGGGAGGCTGAGGCTGGAGGATCTCTTGAGTCCAGGAGTTCTGGACTGTAGTGCGCTATGCCGATCGGGTGTCCACACTAAGTTCGGCATCAATATGGTGACCTCCTGGGAGCGGGGGACCACCAGGTTGCCTAAGGATGGGTGAACCGGCCCAGGTCAGAAAAATATAAATCATGGCTTGATATGGTGGCTCAGGCCTGTAATTCCAGGACTTCGGGAGGCTGAAGCAAGAAGATTGCTTGAGCCCAGGAGTTCAAAACCAGCCTAGACAACATAGGAGACCCCATTTCTATATTCTTTTTTTTTTTAATGTAAAAAATATGAATCATTTACATTGGATGGCTAGCATACCATCATGTTTAGGGGCCAATGCCCACTGGAACATATAAATAAGTTCTGTATCAAGTATATGTCCTAATTTAAATAGCTATCCTTGAAGGTTTAAAGTAGATTTTCAATAAACATCTTAACACATTGAAACCAATTTCTGCTTTAAATTGTAACTTCATGTTGAAAGTTGAATAGCAATTGAGTATCACACATTGCCATATGTCCTGTTTTACAATTTTGGGTATTTTCTCCCCTCAAAATCTCACATTTTCAGGTAAATAAAGTTAAACAAGAAAAGGCTGCTTTAAATTCAGAAGTTCTTGAACAGAGAAAAGTCTTGGAAAAATGCAATAGAGGTAAGTCTGTCCAATCTTTTTTTTCTTAAATACATATGCAGTTTGTTCTGTTTCTGTATATTTTGTGTCATTTTACACCTGTGCCTAAGGATGATTGTAAATAAAATCTTCTCCTATGTTGTGTTTTTCTAGCAGAGTGTCTCTCTGATTCTTACTATTTTATTACCCAACTTAAAGTCTGGGGACATCTAAAAGTGATTTCACTTGAGGAACAAAGAACCCATTCATTTTGAAACTTCATACTAAAATACTACTTCTGACTTAACGTATGTCATGAGATCATGGCCTTTTTAGCTATCCCCTCTGCATTTATATACTTGGTAGGTTATTTAGTAAACCTCAATCTGAAGAGGTTAGGCTGTCTACATAAAACATGTAACATATGATGAAATTTTTAATTAAGAGGATGTGGAAAATGGGGCAAAGGAAAGTGAAAGTTAGATTGATAGACAAAGTGTATACTTGTTCTGAGGTCTTGCACATTTCCTGCCTGTATGCCTGAAATCTGGCTCTGAGCTGTCTGGCAGACAGTGTAATAAGAGATTGATGATCATTTAAATGAATCACATGAAAATGAACCTGTTTTTTAAGAAAAGCAGACCTGGTCTCCTGGTGAGAGGGAAATGCCAGGCATGGTAGCATGTTTCTTTAGTTCCAGCTACACAGTGGCTGCATCCAGAGAAAACTTTGTGTAATTTGGTTAACAGTGACCTTATCCACTTAGTTGTAAAACACAGCATCAGCTCTTATGGGGCTGTTTCATGTGTCTCCCAGTTTAAGACTAGGAAGTGATGCCCAAGTGTTCTGCAAAAGTAATTCTGGGAGTGGTAGGAAGAACTTAATATACTTTCTGTTCTCTCTTTTTTCCTTAGCCACTCTCTTTCGATATTTAGAAGCTGTAACAGTCAAAGGAAACCTTTGTGACCCAGGGCCTTTCTCACTGTTATTGGGGGTAGCGCTCAGTCTTTTTGTCATTCATCACCTGGGATATTTGTCATTCATCACCTGGGATATTTTTGTAAATAAAGGACCTTGTAGGCTGGGTGCGGTGACTTACACCTGTAATCCCAGCACTTTGGGAGGCCGAGGCAGGCAGATCACAAGGTCAGGAGATCAAGACCATCCTGGCCAACATGGTGAAACCCCATCTCTACTAAAAATACAAAAATTAGCTGGGCACGGTGGCATGCCCCTGTAGTCCCAGCTACTTGGGAAGCTGAGGTGGGAGAATTGCTTGAACCCAGGAGGCAGAGGTTGCAGTAAGCCAAGATCATGCCACTGCACTTCAGCCTGGCGACAGAGCAAGACTCCATCAATCAGTCAATCAGTCAGTCACCTTGTAGTTAAATGTGGGCGATCTGCTGGAGTGTAACATTTCTTTTAAGTTTTTCTGTATTTAAATATAGAAACGGTGTAGAATTTTCAGTCTTGATTTACTGTGCTAGAAAAAAAGGATTCTGCAAGGGTTAATGATGTAGCTCTTACCTTCAGAGAGCCCCCTGTCTAGGAAGAGAGAAAAATTATATGAATAAATACCTGACTAGGACCAACCTGATTTCTTTCAGATTCCATGTCAGAAGGGCCAGAACATGTGAAAATTCACTTTTTATTATAGTGTCCTGGACATAGAAAAGAGAGTCAATTATCTTTCCAGGGCTTCAGGTAGTCATAGTGTTCTTTGTTTTCTTCACAAAATTTCTTTTTTAAATAGGCTTGAAAATCATTTGGCTCTCAGGGACCTATAATTCACACCAGAAATCACCACTTATATTGCATTACTTGAGTAAGATTATTAGTCTTTCGTCTGAGGAGATTGTAGATTTATAGAGTACAGAGTTTGAAATTCTATGTCATTACCCAGCAAACCAGTCCTTAGTTAAGATTGAAGCGCCCTGGCGGAACAGTGTGTGAATGCAGCTGTTAAGAGAACCTTTTGAAAGGTTCTATTGGTATGACTCAGCTCAGGGTTGAGGTGCCTCAGCAGAAGCGGATGGGCAGTGTGCTGTCTGCCTAGCTTGTGCTTAATATCTAATGGCGTCATCACCGCTCTGTCCTGTCATTATCACTATTTAACAAAATAGGCCACTGAATGTTGAAAATAGCAAAGAATTCATGTTGCTTTTATTTGACAGGACCTTCTTTTTGAAGCTTTCTGTCTTGCAGTAACTCTTTGGTACAAAGCTGTGACTCTTTGGGTCTGAATCTGAATGGATATAAGGCTGTTTCTCTCCCTTGTAAATACGGAAAACACTTAAAAATAACTTATATGGCCAGGCGTGGTGGCTCACACCTGTAAACCCAGCACTTTGGGAGGCTGAGGTGGGCAAATTACTTGAGATCAGAAGTTTGAGACCAGCCTAGTCAACATGGTAAAGCCTTATCTCTACTAAAATACAAAAGTTAGCTGGGTGTGATGGCACACATCTGTCTGTAATCCCAGCTACTCGGGAGGCTGAGGCATGAGAATCGCTTAAACCCAGGAGTGGGGAGGTTGCAGTGAACCGAGATTGTGCTCCTGTACTCCAGCCTGGGCAACAGACATAGCGAGACTCCATCTCTCAAAATAAATGTATAAATAAATAAATATTCCGGTAATATACTTTTTTAGGTGAAAAATTTAAATTCGTGTAAGAGAAAAAAAATCTCCACCTTTACAATCCAGAGATAAGCACTAGTAACATTTTAGTGTATATTCTTCTAATCTTTAAAAAACTATATATATATATATATATATATTGAATTTTTTGGTTAAATATGTTTATAATATATATATATGGAAGACAGAGAAAATACCAGTAAAAGAAATCTCTTTATACTTGCTGGTACCGTACAAACCCATGAACGTCCCTCTCTACTCATACCCCTCCCTTGAATTTTTATCATTTCCTTTCTTTTATTTGTAGTTTTGCCAAATATGTATGTATCCCTAAACAGTATTGTTTAATTTTGCATATTTTTGAACTCTATATAAATGGAATAATTTTTCCTATAACCTTCTGCCACTTGGTTTGTGAGATTGATGCGTGTGGACAAGCATAGCTGTGGTATGTTTTTTTTTCGCTGCTCTATACTATTCTATTGAATCACCACACTACAATTATTTCAAGTAGTATCCTATTGGTAGACTTTGGGTTGTTTCCAGATTTTGATTATTCTGAGTCATGCTGTTATGAAAAATTGTTAGATATATAATCTGGTCCACATGTCCAAGAGTTTCTCTAAGACACATGCCAAATGTAAAATTTTATCTTCAGTTTTTTCATTGTATACCAAATTGTATAAGATCTATCAGTCTACAGTCCTATTAACAATATATTTGTTCCCATGGTTTTGTGTCTTCTCCAAATTTAATAAAGCCAGGCTTTAAAATGTGGTCAGTTGCTTCTTGGACAGGTGTAGAAAGTGTTTTTACTCTGCATCTCCCTGATTCCTAATGAAGATGAGCATCTTTCCATACATTTATTGGCCTTTTGTAGATTTCCTATTCTGTGAAATGGCTGTTGATGTGCTTTATCTGTGGCTTTTAAAGAACAAAAATGAAATTCATTTTGCACTAACTTTTGCAGTCTATTTTAAAAAATATATCACAAATGCCTTTCTATTCACTAAGTATGCTTCTACAATATAATTTTGATGGCAGAATCATATTTCTTGTACCGCAATTTACGGATCCTTCAGTGTTCGAGCATTGTGTCGTTTTTATTAGCAGTGAGGTAGAGAACATCCTTGCAACCAGATAACTGCATATTCTCCTGTGTTACTATCTTAACATATGCATTCCTAGAAGTGGGATTATTCAAAGTATATGAGTAGTTTTAGATTTTTGATTTACATTGCCAAGCTGCTCTCCAAAAAGGTTTTATCAATTAAATGCCAACCAGGAATGTATGAGGGTACCTGTATGCCTGTATGAAGAATCTTTTCAACACTGTTTTTCATCCATATTCCTGATTATTTGTGTGACTTATTGTCTGGGGTTTTCTTCCTTTATCTTCTTAAGTGTCCATATTAGCTGTAGAAGAGTATGAAGAGATGCAAGTAAACCTGGAGCTGGAGAAGGACCTTCGAAAGAAAGCAGAGTCATTTGCACAAGAGGTGAGTATCTTGTAAAAAAAATCTTTCTTTTTTCTTTTTTTTTTTTTTTTGAGACATGGTCTCCTGTCGCCAGGCTGGAGTACAGTGGCGCGATCTTGGCTCACTTTAACCTCCGGCTCTCTGGTTCAAGCATTTCTCCTGCCTCAGCCTCCTAAGTAGCTGGGATTACAGGTATGTGTCACCACGCCCAGCTAATTTTTGTATTTTTAGTAGAGACGGGGTTTCACTGTGTTGGCCAGAATGGTCTCGATCTCCTGACCTTGTGACCCACCCGCCTTAGCCTCTCAAAGTGCTGGAATTACAAGCATGAGCCACCACTCCTGGCAGTAAAAACCTTTTTAATTTTTGTTTTTTAAGGGACCTTGCAGATGACATATCAGACAAATTCTTGAGGTTGAATAAGAACTTAACCAGTTTGAATCAAGGATGTGCTGGTTTTGGGAAGCAGATACAGAATAATATCAAGTTCATTGTCAAAATCTGGGCTCAAATTTTGACCATGTCATTTACTAGTTGTATGACCTCTGGGCAATTCTTTAGCCTCTGGGGGCTTCACTTTTACCGTCTGTAAAATGGACAATAATATAGACCTGACTAAGCAGATTTTAATGGGAAAATTTTTAAAAAGTGTTGTGTAAACTATAAAATGCTATGTAAGGAAAAGGAATTTCATTTGGAGATACCCATGACTTGTGATGGAAAGTCCAGCTTGGGTACAAGATGTCTGTACATTTCAAATAGCCTTAAAACCTGGGATGTATCTCTGTAGACCATCTCAGTTAACAGGATAATGGTATCAGTATTTCTCTTCAGCCATTGAGCAGTGCTGTCATTATGCCAGGGGATTCTTCCACTGGCTGTGGAGCACTGCCATGTAATACATTCATTATCTCAGCCTTTCACCAGCTACTGATCTTCCTCTCATGTTAGACATCAGCTTGTTCTGGCTTACCTGTTGACATGCAGTCATCAGGTCTTCCATGACCCGGCAGCTGGTTTCCAGGGGGATGAGGAGTTCACCAGTCAGCTAAACTCAAAAGCTGGTCTGTAATGAGATCTGCATCCTGTAGCAGTAGTTTGAATTTGTGTGCATACTTTGGTTTGAGGGGAACTAGCTCAGGAAATGTACAACAGCCCCAGGTAGAGGTATCCAAGGCATAGAAGAAAGACAAAGCATGGCATTATGGGAATGGCATTTGAAAATTCGATGATGGTTTTGTGGGAATCTTTCTGTGCTTGAGTGTAGCTGTGACAGCAATGAACTCTACCAAAGGTTTAAGCCAAGTAGATCTGATTTGAAATATTATGATTCGTTTTATTCAGAGAGTTTAATCAAAGGTGAGTAAATATTGTTCTCTTATTACTTGGAAGAAAGAAAAAAGAATTGAAGTGTGTCAGAGCCCTCTGGAAAACGTTGCAGCAATATAAATAATGCAACAAAATAAACAGTGGAGGGGGAGGGGAAGCAGAGATAATGTGAAGATGCCTTTATTGCAAAACTGGAAAGGTTGGCTGATTTTGACCTGAATAACAGGGTCTCATTTCAAGACATTTTCAGTTTTCCATCTGTTGTTTGCACAATGATGTTGGAATACAAAACAGCTCAAAGAAAAACTTGAAGGCCATGTAGTAGCAGAGAAGACAGATGGAAGAAGCAAGGTTGCAGTAAGAGGACAAAAATGAATGATTGACTCTGCCGTTCACCTGGTCTTAAGCCTTAGTGGTTGGTGGAAACAATGATGCTGACATGTTAACCTAGAATGAGGAGGTAGAAGTTTGAGGAGAGAAAGAAAGCAAGAGAAATGGTACTTATGTTATTGGTAGCATAAATATTTGCAATGGTACTCAACAATTTTACAATGTCTAGATTCAATCTACATAATAGTGAGAAGAAAACTTTTTTGAAAAGCACTAGATTGGAACTAGCATATTTTCCTTTTTACGTAGTTTACGCATACTCAGATTTTCAACAGATAAGTACTGCACAAAGGAACATGACTTAGTTTAACAACAGAATCCCATTTTTATTTATTTATTTATTTTTTGAGATGGAGTCTCCCTCCGTCGCCCAGGCTAGAGTGCAGTGGCATGATCTTGGCTCACTGCAACCTCCGCCTCACAGGTTGAAGCAGTTCTCTGCCTCAGCCTCCTGTTAAGCTGGGATTATAGGTGCCCACCACCACGCCTAGCTAAGTTTTGTATTTTTAGTAGAGACAGGGTTTCGTCATCTTGGCCAGGCTGGTCTTGAACTCCTGACCTTGTGATCCACCCACCTCGACCTCCCAAAGTACTGAGATTTCAGGCACGAGCCACCGCACCTGGCCCAGAGTCCCATTCTTTTGCATTTTGCTTACCACTTAGGGCATTCAGCAAACATCTTATTGTGCCAGACACTGTGCTGACATTGGGTATCCAATGGTGAAGAAAGCAACTATGACCCCTGCCCTCTTGGAGCTTATGGTCTAGAGTCTTAGAAATCAGTTTTTAAGGGTATTTACTTTATATTTTTAATTAAAAAGGAATATGTGTGCCTTGTGCAAAGATACAAATATTTTCTAAATGTATGAAGTAAAAATTGAAAGCTCCCCTACTCTTAACTCCCACTAGTTCATTTAAAAAACAAAACCTAAAACATCCCCCTCAACAAGAAGAAAACTGTCAGTTATCTTCATGACTATATTAAATTTTTAAATTTCTTCAACATATTTAAATTTTTTGGCCAGGAGTGGTGGCTCACACCTGTAATCCCAGCACTTTGGGATGCCGAGGTGGGCGAATCACTTGAGTCCAGGAGTTTAAGACCAACATAGTGAAACCCCATCTCTACTAAAACTACAAAAATTAACCAGGCGTGGTGGCAGGCGCCTATAATCCCAGCTACTCAGGAGAAGAATCTTTTGAACCCAGGAGATGGAGGTTGCAGTAAGCTAAGAGCCAAGATCATGCCGCTGCACTCTAGCTTGGGTGACAGAGCAAGGCTCTGTCTTAAAAAAAAAAAAAAAAAAAATTAATGATAGACTTTCCTGTGCTTTTGAGTATATTTTATTGTTAGTCACTGTAGTTTTTCTTTTCTAAGTTATGGATGCCTTGTTCAACATGCATTCCCAATATACCTTAAGACTACTATAAAATCCCTTCCCCTCCCCCCTAAACAACTCAGATGGTATTTGAGTGTTAATTTGGAAAGAACGAATTATATATTAACAATGTAAGATTTTCTTCTCATTCTTTTTCCAAAAAAAATTATGAAATTTCTCTGAAATTCTGATACTATGATGTTGTTTGCTAAGAGACCAATTTCATAACTCTTAACTGATGAGTTATTACCATAGCTGAAACCCAAATTTATCAGTGTTTGGTAACTTAATTCTCTTGAAATACTTCTTTTAGAACAGGAGTTATGTAGAATTTTCATGTTAATATCTTTAAGTTTAGAAAAACTAATCTAATAAGTATTTTTCAAGTTACCATGGTTATTTAAAGGAAGTCCCTTTCTATATATGCTTTCCTCTTGTAATATTACTGTTCACGGATTGTTACAGGCATTTTGCAAAAGAAATTCATGTTATTAGCATCCCTAAGATTTGATGTTATATATCTTTACTCTCATTTCTCCAATATAACAAAGTTGAGGTAATTTACAATCATGTGAAGTTAAACAGGTTTTTCTGAGTGCTACATGGAAAAGGAGCGCCTGCTCTTTTTCCCAAGAGATAGCAAAGCACATAGCTGCAGTTCAGTGAGAGTCATAAAGCCCTCTTTGCGCTGATGGCTAGCCTGTGCTCTGCCTTGTTTTACCTCTGAGTTCATTGCCCCATTCTTGTTCCTCCGCTGTCTGCTTCCTCTCTGCCTGCTCTTGGCCTCCAAGTGTACTTGGTGAGAGGCCTCACCTGCTGGAAATGGGAAGCCCATGTCAGCTGCTGTTTGCTGGCTGATCACGCAGACTCCCTCAAGTACTTTCTAAATGCCGGAAAGGGACGCCAGCTAGCTAAGTTTAGAGAGGGAAAAGCATATTAGAAAGAAATTACTGGCCAGGTGCATTGGCTCATATCTGTAATCTCAGCATTTTGGGAGGCCGAGGCTGGTGGCTCACCTGAGATCAGGAGTTGGAGACCAGCCTGACCAACATGGAGCAACCCCGTCTCTACTTAAAATACAAAATTAGCCGGGTGTGGTAGCACGCACCTGTAATCCCAGCTACTCAGGAGGCTGAGGCAGGAGAATAGCTTGAACCCGGGAGGTGGAGGTTGTGGTGAGCCCAGAAAGCGCACTCCAACCTGGGCAACAAGAGTGAAACTCTGTCAAGAAAGAAAGAAAGGAAGAAAGAAAAGAAGGAAAGAAAGGAAGAAATAAATTATTGGGCCTTATGCAGTAGCTCACACCTGTAATCCCAGCGCTTTGGGAGGCTGAGGCAGGAGGATCACCTGAGGTCGGGAGTTTGAGACCAGCCTGGCCAACATGGTGAAACCCCGTCTTTATGAAAAATACAAAAATTAGCCGGGCATGGTGGTAGGCACCTGTAGTCCCAGCTACTCAGGAGGCTGTGGCATGAGAATCACTTGAACCGGGAGGCAGAGATTGTAGTGAGTGGAGATTATGCCACTGCACTCCAGCCTGGGGAACAGAATGAGACTTTGTCTCAAAAAAAAAAAATTACTGTAATCATAATGGTAATCCAAAATAATTCATTTCAATTAAACCACTGGTCTAAAGCTTAAGATACTGTGATGAAATATTGATTACTCTTTCTTGGTATACTGAATCTGCATCTTACCCTTTTCCATCCAAGAAGACATGCACATATTCTCCCTCATTGCAGTCTCTCTACCTCTCATTGTCACAAAGACGTTAGGAGTCAAATGGAAGAAGAATGTGGGTTTCATGTATATACAATTGTTTATTTACCTGTTCGACTTTGTAGGTGTATTGGTTCTGCAGAACCCTGTTATAGTTTTTTGTTGTAGGCTTTTCATAAATCTCTGCACAGGCAAAGAAGGAAACCTTCTGACCTTTTTTTTCCTTTCCTAGAAAGACATACTGGGGAGAAAATGTTAGTGTTTTAGTGTAATGCATTCATGACATGACTTTGATTTGGAAATCAGTACTGATCAGGATCTTAAGGATTGTATAAAACATTAAAGCTGTGGTTTGCCACATGGAGGCTGATGGAAAATATTTTTGTCCAGAGTTTTATTTGCTGACTTTTTCTGTTACATGATGGATGAAGTTGTTGGACAAACTAATATGTGGGCTGTAACAAATCATTTTACAGTTCAGAGCTTTCAGTTCAGTTACTGCGTAAATTTTAAAATGCTGAAATTTTTAAATTTTAAAAATCTGAAAAAAATCTGAAGTTCTGTGTAAATTTTAAAACGCTGTTAAAAATCTGAAAAAAATTTGAAGCTCTACTGTGTAAATTTTAAAATGCTGTTAAAAATCTGAAAAAAAACCTGAAACTGTATTACAAAATTGGTAGGCCAGATTTCAGAGTTCACAAAAACATTTCGTACTTGAAATCACTCACTGGCCAAATTGGGTAGAGTGTTAAGGAAAAGAGATAACAGGTGAATAGAAATTAATGTTGTTTTCAATCATGTAAAGTTGTGAGGATTTGATGAATAACATATAAATTGCTTAATAAAGTGCTCGGTAAATATTAGTATACTGTTTCCCTTCTCCCCTTTACCCTTCTACTGTTAACTACTTTCATCAGTGAGGAGAAACTAATTAGTTTAAAACAAAACATTAGATTTAGTAAATAGTAGAGGAACTTAGCCAGTTGGTTAAGAGCTTGAGCATGTAAACCAGCTATGGGTTTAAATCCTGGTCTTGTCATTTATGTGTGTTCTTGGGAAAGTTGTTTAACTTCTTTGAGCCTCAGTTACCTTATCAGTAAAATTATATGATAGTAGTGTCTAATTGATAATGTTGTTTTAAGGATTATATGGTATAATGAATGTAAAATGGTTCCCACCATATCCATTACAGTGTATAGTGTTACTTATTTATAGTAGAACACTTTTATAGGATTGATGTAAGGATTAAAATAATACATATAAAATATTTAGTGGTGTACACAAGGTAAGTTTTTGAGAAATATTAGCTACTACTATTAGTACTAATGTAATTTAAAGCAATAATAAAATATTAAAATTAAAGAATAAGTCCAGCTTATTGTATAAATATCTTGTTGGGGCAGGAGTAAAGGTATTAAAGATTATATAAAAGTTAGGAATGAAATTGTAGCAATCACAACTTCTAAAACTGTTAATACAATTCAGAATTTGCCTTTTTTTTTTTTTTTTCCCCTGAGACAGAGTCTCACTTTGTCACCCAGGGTGGAGTGCAGTGGCATGATCTTTGCTCACTGCAACCTTTGCCTCCTGGGTTCAAGCGGTTCTCCTGCCTCAGCCTCCTTAGTAGCTGGGATTACAGGTATGCGCCACCACGCCTGGCTAATTTTTGTATTTTTAGTAAAGACAGAGTTTCACCATGTTGGTTAGGCTGGTCTCGAACTCCTGACCTCATGATCCACCTGCCTCAGCCTCCCAAAGTGCTGGGATTAGAGTCATCAGTCATTATGCCCCGCCCATCTTTAATGTTTTAATAAAAACTCTGTGTACTTTTTTTTTTTTTGCTGAAGTTACAGTTGAGGAGATATGTTAGATTGACTGATATATACATTCTTGTAATGAACTTTTGCAGATGTTCATTGAGCAAAACAAGCTAAAGAGACAAAGCCACCTTCTGCTGCAGAGCTCCGTCCCTGATCAGCAGCTTTTGAAAGCTTTAGATGAAAATGCAAAACTCACCCAGCTCCTTGAAGAAGAGAGAATTCAGCATCAACAAAAGGTAACCCATTTTCTTCTGGATTCTTAGATACACACACACGTACATGCATGCACACTCATATATTTAAGATGAAGGGTGCCAGTGGAGTCAGGTCAGTCATTTATTGTTTCATATTTTGCCTTAGTTACTAAGTTCTTCCAACCACCTTTTAGAAAAAAGTAACTAAATGAACTTAATTTAGCAAAACTGAAATTTGTAACACACTGTTGTAGACTTTATAATAATCTTTAAACTGTCCAAAGGGTCAGAAGAAGCAAGGGAAAGTGATGAAACTCAAAAAGAGCTTGGATAATACAAAGTCTGGAAATTTGCTTTTTGGAAATCATGTATTTTTTGGAGACTGTACACACTAAGAGGATCTATTCATCTCAGAGCACTTGTTGGATGGCATAGGTTTTATTCAGAGAAAGGAAAATGAAAGTCCATATTAGTAGTAATTGTTTGCTTAGAGAAAATTTCTGGTTTTGTAAACTTGCACAAATGTGTATGTTTAAAGACTTCCTAAGTGGTTGTTTCAATTTGATGAGTGGAGCTATTCCAGCTGACACAGCCTACCTCTGTGTGCCAGAAAGAAAGGATAATCATTGTGGTAGGTTAGAGGAGAATGTGGGAGAGGAGAAGTGAAGAAGTGGAACAAAGACTTTCAAATTAAAGAAACCACTTAAGAAAAATTACGTCAGTGTTTATACTACTTATAATGTACCTCATTTGGAAAGGAAAGAGTGTTAGTTGCTACTTGTTATCACCTGTCACAGTCTCTGTGGCAACAGTATTGACATTTAATCCCTGGAAGTCCTGAGGTTTTTACAAAGTTGGTGTTGAGGTCGAGTTGATTTTTTTCCTCAATAAAAATTGTTGATATATGGTAGCTGGCAAGATGGCTGAATAGGAACAGCTCCAGTCTGCAGCTCCCAGAGACCAATGCAGAAGGGAGGTGATTGATCTCTGCATTTCCAACCGAGGTACCCTGCTGATATCATTGGGATGGGTTAGTCAGTGGGTGCAGTCCACAGAGGGCGAGCCGAAGCAGGGTGGGGCATCGCCTCACCCAGGAAGCACAAGGGATTAGGGAACTCCCTCCGCTAGCCAAGGAAAACTGTGAGGGACTGTGCTGTGAAGAATGGAGCACTCTGGCCCACATACTATGCTTTTCCCATGGGCTTCACAACGTGCAGACCAGGAGATTCCCTCAGGTGCCTATACCACCAGGGTCCTGGGTTTCTAACACAAAACTGGGCAGCCATTTTGGCAGACACCAAGCTAGCTGCAGCAGTTTCTTCATACCCCAGTGGTGCCTGGAACACCAGCTAGATAGAACCATTAACTCCCCTGAAAAGGGGGCAGGAGTCAGGGAGCCAAGTGGTCCAGCTCTGAGGATCCCACCCACATAAGTCCAGCAAACTAAGATCTACTGGCTTGAAATTCTGGCTGTCAGTACAGCAGTCTGGGAAGCTTGAGCTTGGTGGGGTGAGGGGTGCCTGCCGTTACTGAGGCTTGAGTAGGTGGTTATCCCCTCATAGTGTAAACAAAGCCACCCAGAAGTTCAAACTAGATAGGGCACACTGCATCGATACAAAGCTGCTTATAGCCAGATTCACCAAGGTTGAAATGAAGGAAAAAATGTTAAGGGCAGCCAGAGAGAAAGGTCAGGTTACCCACAAAGGGAAGCCCATCAGACTAACAGTGAATCTCTCTGAAGAAACCCTATGAGCCAGAAGAGACTGGGGGCCAGTATTCAACATTCTTAAAGAAAATAATTTTCAACCCAGAATTGCATATCCAGCCAAACTAAGCTTCATGAGCGAAGGAGAAATAAAATCCTTTATAGACAAGCAAATACAAAGAGATTTTGTCACCACCAGGCCTGCCTTACAAGAACTTCTGAAGGAAGCACTAAATATGGAAAGAAAAAACCAGTACGAGCCACTGCAGAAACATACTGAATGATAAAGACCATCAACACTATGAAGAAACTGAAACAACTGATGGGCAAAATAACCAGCTAGCATCATAATGACAGGATGCAATTCACACATAATAGTATTAACCTTAAATGTAAATGGGCTAAATGCCCCAGTCAAAAGACACAGACTGGCAAATTGTATAAAGAGTCAAAACCCATCAGTGTGCTGTATTCAGGAGACCTATCTCACGTGCAAAGACACACATAGGCTCAAAGTAAAGGAATGGAGGAATATTTGCCAAGCAAATGGAAAGCAAAAAAAAGCAGGGGTTGCAATGCTGTTCTCTGATAAAACAGACTTTAAACCAACAAAAATAAAAAGCAAAAAGAAGGGCATTACATAATGGCAGAGGGATCAATGCAACAAGAAGAGCTAACTTTCCTAAATACATGTGGACTCAATACAGGAGCACCCAGATTGATAAAACAAGTTCTTATAGACCTACAAAGAGACTTAGATTCCCACACAATACTAGTGGGAGATGTTAACACCCTACTGTCAATATTAGACAGATCAATGAGGCAGAAAATTAACAAGGATATTCCGGACTTGAACTTAGCTCTGGACCAAGTGGACCTAAAAGACATTTACAGAATTCTCCGCCCCTAATCAACAGAATGTATATTCTTCTCAGTACCACATGGCACTCATTCTAAAATTGACCACATAATTAGCAGTAAAACACTCCTCAGCAAAGGCAGAAGAATGGGGATCTTAGCAGTATCTCAGACCACAGTGCAATCAAATTAGAACTAAGGATTAAAAAACTCACTCAACACTGCACAACTACGTGGAAACTGAACAACCTGCTTCTTAAAGTCTATTGGGTAAATTACAAAATGCAGGCAGAAATGAATAGGTTCTTTGAAATCAACGAGAACAAAGACACAATGCACAAGAATCTCTGGGACATAGTAAAAGCAGTGTTTAGGGGGAAATTTATAGCACTAACTGCCCCCAGGAGAAAGCAGGAAACATCTAAAATCAACACTCAAACCTTACAATTAAAAGAACTATAGAAGCAAGAGCAAACAAATTCAAAAGCTAGCAGAGGACAAGAGATAACTAATACCAGAGCAGAACTAAAGGTGATAGAGACATGAAAAATCCTTAAAAAAAATCAGTGAATCCAGGACCTGGTTTTTTGAAAAGATTAACAAGTCGACCACTAGCCTGACTAATAAAGAGAGAATAATCAAATATATGCAATAAAATATGTAAAGGAAAGATCACCACTGATCCCACAGAAATACAAACTACCATCAGAGAATAGTAAAAACACCTCTATTCAAATAAACTAGAAAATCTAGAAGAAATGGATAAATTAACTGAACACATACATCCTCCCAAGACTAAACCAGGAAGAAGTTGAATTCCTGAATACACCAATAACAAGTTCTGAAATTGAAGCAGTAATTAATATCAATCAAGAAAATACCAGGACCACACAGATTGACAGCCAAATTCTACCAGAGATACAAAGAGGTACAATTCCTTCTGAAACTATTCCGAACAATAGAAAAAGAGAGAGACTCCTCCCTAACTCATTTTATGAGGCCAGCATCATCCTGATACTAAAACCTGGCAGAGACACAACAAAATAAGAAAATTTCAGGCTAATATCCCTGATGAACATTGATGTGAAAATCCTCAATAAAATACTGGGGAACCAAATCCAGCAGCACATCAAAAAGCTTATCCACCATGATCAAGTTGGCTTCATCCCTGGGATGCGAGGCTGGATCATCATACAGAAATTGATGCATGTAATCCATCACATAAACAGAAACAATGACAAAAAGCACATAATAATCTCAATAGATGCAGAAAGGCCTTTGATAAAATTCAACACCCTTTCATGGTAAAAACTCAATAAACTAGGTATTGATGTAACAAGTCTGAAAATAATAAGAGCTATTTATGACAAACTCATAGCCAGTATCATACTGAATGGGCAAAAGTTGGAAGCATTCCCTTTGAAAACCAGCACAAGACAAGGAAGTCCTCTCTCACCATGTCTTTTCAACATAGTATTGGAAGTTCTGGCTAGGGCAGTCAGGCAAGAGAAATAAATAAAGGGTATTCAAATAGGAAGAGAGGAAGTCAAATTGTTCCCATTTGCAGATGACATGATTGTGTATTTAGAAAACCCCATTGTTAGCAAAGACCTGGAACCAACCCAAATGCCCATCGATGATAGACTGGACAGGGAAAATGTGGCACATATACACCATGGAATATTACGCAGCCATCAAAAATGATGAGTTTGTGTCCTTTGTAAGGACATGGATGAACCTGGAAGCCATCATTCTCAGCAAAGTGACACAGGAGCAGAAAATCAAACACCGCATGTTCTCACTCATAGGCGGGTGTTGAACAACGAGAACACGTGGACACAGGGAGGGGAGCACTACACACTGGGGTCTGTTGGAGGGAAATAAGGGAAGGACAGCAGGGGGTGGGGAGTTGGGGGGGGATGGCACGGGGAGAAATGCCAGATATAGGTGAGGGGGAGGAAGGAAGCAAATCACACTGCCACGTGTATACCTATGCAACAATCTTGCATGTTCTTCACATGTACCCCAAAACCCTAAAATACGATAAAAAAAAAGAAAACCCCATTGTTCCAGCCCCAAATCTTCTTAAGCTGATAAGCAACTTCAGCAAAGTCTCAGTATACAAAATCAGTGTGCAAAAATTACAAGCATTCCTATACAGCAATAATAGACAAACAGCCAAGTCATGAGCGAACTCCCATTCACAATTGCTACAAAAAGAATAAAATACCTAGGAATACTACTCACAAGGGATGTGAAGGACCTCCTTAAGGAGAACTACAAACTATTGCTCAAGATAATAGGAGAGGACACACACAAATGGAAAAACATTCCATGCTCATGAATAGGAAGAATCAATATTGTGAAAATGGCCATACTGCCCAAAGTAATTTGTAGATGCAGTGCTATCCTCATCAAGCTACCATTGACTTTCTTTACAGAATTAAAAAAAAAAAAAACTACTTTAAATTTCATATGGAATCAAAAAAGAGCCCATATAGCCAAGACAATTCTAAGCAAAAAGAAAAAAGCTGGAGGCATCATGCTACCTGACTTCAAACTATACTACAAAGCTACAGTAACCAAAACAGCGTGGTACTGGTACCAAAACAGAGATACAGACCAGTGGAATAGAACAGAGGCCTCAGAAATAATGCCACACATCTACAACCATCTGATCTTTGACAAACCAGACAAAAACAAGCAATGGGGAAAGGATTCCCTGTGTAATAAATGGTGTTGGGAAAACTGGCTAGCTTTTGTATAAAACACTTTGTACAAAAATTAACTCCAGATGGATTAAAGACTTAAATGTAAGATCTAAAACCATAAAAATCCTAGAAGAAAACCTAGGCAATACCATTCAGGACATAACTATGGGCAAAGATTTCATGACTAAAACACTAAAATCAATGGCAACAAAAGCCAAAATTGACAAATGGGATCTAATTAAACTAAGGAGCTTCTGCATAGCAGAAGAAACTATCATCAGAGTGAACAGGCAACTTACAGAATGGGAGAAAAGTTTTGCAATCTATCCCTCTAATAAAGAGCTAATATTCAGACTCTACAAGGAACTTAAACAAGTATACAAGGAAAAAACAACCCCATCAAAAAGCAGGTGAAGGATATGAACAGACACTTCTTAAAAGAAGACATTTATATAGCCAACAAACATATGAAAAAAAGCTCATCATCAGTTGTCATTAGAGAAATGCAAATCAAAACCACAATGAGATACCATCTCATGCCAGTTAGAATGGTGATCATTAAAAAGTCAGGAAACAACAGATGCTGGAGAGGATATGGAGAAATAAGAATGCTTTTACACTGTTGGTGGGAGTGTAAATTAGTTCCACCATTGTGGAAGACAGTGTGGAAATTCCTCAAGGATCTAGAACCAGAAATACCATTTGACCCAGCAACTCATTACTGGTTTTATACCCAAAGGATTATAAATTATTCCACTATAAAGACACATGGACAAATACATTTATTGCGGCACTGTTCACAATAGCAAAGACTTGGAACCGACCCAAATGCCCATCAGTGATAGACTAGATAAAGAAAATGTGGCACATATACATCATGGAATACTATGCAGCTATAAAAAGGATGGGTTCATGTCCTTTGCAGGGACATGGATGAAGCTGGAAACCATCATTCTCAGCAAATTAACCCAGGAACAGAAAACCAAATATCATATGTTGTTACTCATAAGTGGGAGTTGAACAATGAGAACATAAGGACACAGGGAGGAGGACATCACACACTAGAGCCTGCCAGGGAGTGTGGGGCAAGGGGAAGGATAGGATTAAGAGAAATACCTAATGTAGATGACGGGTTGATGAGTGTAGCAAACCACCATGGCACGTGTATACCTACGTAACAAACCTGCGTGTTCTGCATATGTATCCCAGAAGTTAAAGTATAATTTTAAAATAAAAATTTAAAAAATGTTGATATATATGTAGAGTACCTCTAGATGGACAGGTAATAACAGTCCCCTGGGAAAGAGAACTGGAGAACAGGGTGGGAGGGAAAGAATTTCATTCTTTCTTTTGTCCTCATGTGTAGGAATTACCTTTTCAAGAAAAGAGAGACAAAAAGAATGGGCTTTTGTTTCAGTTTATGCTAGAATTTAACTCTTGGTTCTGAAAAGTCTGAAAAGTCCAGCTACGTACAGTTAAGTAATTTAGTAAATAATACATGCCTGGAACCTACTGAATTGAACTGAGATATAGGACTAAATTGTTACTTATATACCTTGTTGGGTACTGAAGATCAGATAAAGCTTACTAATGAAATTATAACAATTACTACTTCTAAAACTGTTACACTCTTTATACATACAGTTATTCTGGATAGTCTTTCATGTACAGATGATCCTTGATTTATGATGGGGTTATGTCCTGATAAACCCATGTTTGTTGAAAATACTGTAAATTGAAAGTAATACACCTAACCTACTGGACATCATAGTTTAGCCTAGTTTACCTTAAATGTGCTCGGAATACTTACATTAGGCTACAATTGCTCAGAGTCATCTGGAAACATAGTATACTCCCCACCCTTTTTGGCACTAGGGACCAGATTCGTTGAAGACCATTTTTCCAGGGACCGGGGAGGGAAGAATATGGGGGATGGTTTTGGGATGAAACTGTTCCACCTTAGCTCATTAGCATTAGATTCTCATAAGGAACGTACAACCTAGATTTTTTGCATGTGACTTTCACCATAGGGTTCATGCTTGTATGAGAGTCTGTTGCAGCCACTGACCTGACAGGAGGTGGAGCTTAGGTGATAAAGTTTACTCACGCCTGCTGCTTACCTTCTGCTAGGCAGCCTGGTTCCTAACAGGCCATGGACCAAGGCCTTGGGGCTGGGGACCCCTGCTCTAAAGTGTCAGTTGTTTACCTGCATGATTATGTGACTGGGAGCTGTGGCTGGCTGCTGCTGCCCAGGATTGTAAGAGAGTATCTTATTACATACTGCCAGCCTGGGAAAATATCAAAATCCAGAATTTGAAGTATGGTTACTATTGAATGCCTGTCGCTTCCACACCATTGTAAAGTCGAACTGTATCTCAGACCATCCTAAATTGGGGACCGTCTGTATGTGGCTTCAAATGTTTCTTAACTCAGTAAGTTCCCTTGCAGATGCAGCAGTCTTTTAAGCACAGCATATGGTTTTTGCAATTATAAAAATAACATATGTTCCTTATAATAAATTTTTTAAATATAGCAAAAATTAAAGAATATTAATCAAGTGTTCCATATTTTGGTGCATAGCTGAACTTTCTTTAAATATATAATTTTGTGCATATGTATTATTTGTTTAAATGGAGTCATACCATGCATACTATTTTATGACCTGATTTTTTTCCATTGGTAATATATCTTCTCATGTCAGTATATAGTAAACTATGTGATTTTTTTTGGCGGGGTGGGGAACAGAGTCTCGTTTTTGTTGTCCAGGCTGGAGTGCAATGGCATGATCTTGGCTCACCACAAACTCTGCCTCCCTGGTTCAAGTGATTTCCCTGCCTCAGCCTCCCGAGTAGCTAGGATTACAGGCAACCGCCACCACACCCAGCTAATTTTTTGTATTTTTAGTAGAGACATAGCCTCACTATGTTGGTGAGGCTAGTCTCAAACTCCTGACCTCAGGCAGTCCACCCACCTCAGCCTCCCAAAGTGCTGGGATTACAGGCATGAGCCACCATGCCTGGACAAGCTATGTGATTTTAAACAGTTGCATAGTATTTCATTTAATAAACATGCCATAACTTATTAAATCAAAAATATTGGTGGACATTTGGGTTATTTGCAACTTTTTGCTGTTGTAAAGAATACTTCAGGCCAGTGTGGTGGCTCATGCCTGTAATCTCAGCACTTTGGGAGGCCAAGACAGGTGGATCACGTGAGGCCAGGAGTTCGAAATCAGCCTGGCTAACATGGTGAAACCCCATCTTACAAAATATATAAAAATTAGCTGAGTGTGGTGACACGTGTCTGTAGCCCCAACTACTCAGGAGGCCAAAGCACAAGAATTGCTTAAACCCAGGAGGCAGAGGTTGCAGTGAGCCCAGATTGCACCACTGCATCCCAGTCTAAGCGAAAGAGTGAGACTATTTCTCAACCCACAAAAACATTTCAGTGAATATATTTCCACCCTTGTTGGAGTATTTTAAAAAATAATTCCTAAAAGTGGCGTTGCTGAATCAAGGGCCTTTCCTTTTTTTTTTTTTTTGAAGACTTCTGATACATATTACTAAATTTATGTCCCTCAGGGGTCTTTTAAAATATTACCTGAATTTTTCTTTTGAAAATGGGTACAAAAGTGACTCGTATTTAAAAATTAAAGTGTCTGTGAGGCTCACAAGCATACAAAAATGCTTAACATCACTAATCATTAGAGAAATGTAAATCAGAACCACAGTGAGATACCATCTCACGTCAGTCAGAAGGGCTGTTATTAAAAAGTCAAAAAATAACAGATGTGGGGAAGATTTCGGAGAAAGGGGACACATATACACTGCTGGTAGGAATGTAAGTTAATTCAGCCATTGTGGAAAGCAGTGTGGTGATTTCTCAAAGAACTTAAAACAGAAATACCATTCAAGCCAGCAATCCCTTTATTGGATATTTGCCCAAAGGAATATAAATTATTCTACCATAAAGACACATGCATGCATATATTCATCGTAGCACAATAAGCAATAGCAAAGTCATGGAGTCAACCTCAGTGCCCATCAGTGATAGACTGGATAAAGAAATGTGGTACATATTACACCATGGAATACGATGTCGCCATAAAAAGGAAGGAGATAATGTCCTTTGTAGCAATGTGAATGGAACTGGAGCCCATAATCCTAAGTAAACTAACATAGGAATAGAAAACCAAATACTACATGTTCTCACTTCTAGGTAGGAGCTAAGCATTGATTACACATGGACACAAAGAAGAGAACAACAGACACTGAGGCTTACTTGAGGGCTGAGGGTGGGAGGAGAGAGAGGATCGAAAAACTACCTCTCAGGTATTATCATTTTTACCTCAGTGACAAAATAATCTGTACGCCAAACCCCTGTGACACACGATTTACCTATATAACAAACCTGCACATGTACCCTAGAAACTAAAATAAAACAAAAAAAGTGTCTGGGACATAACTCCCTAGTAAATTTATTTTAAATCAAAGAGCTTATTATGATTTTGTGTTAATTGTATCTAGAATTTGCATGGTTTCTAAGATGGATTAGACTCTCTTTGCGATGAAGTACAGTCAAAGAGAAGTATTTATTTTTTCCCTTTCTTTTCTTTAATGAATAAACAGGTATCACTCATAAAAGTCTTTTTTTTTCTTTTTTTAAATAACTTGTAGGTCAAAGAATTAGAAGAGCAACTAGAAAATGAAACACTCCGCAAAGAAATACACAACCTCAAACAGCAGCTGGAGCTTCTAGAAGAAGATAAAAAGGAATTAGAATCGAAATATCAGAATTCTGAAGAGAAAGCCAGAAATTTAAAGCATTCTGGTAAAAGCATTGTGTAGGCTACTATGTCTTATTACTAATCTTTGAATTACTCATGCCTAGTACAAAACCTGGCACATAGTTAGCCTAGAACATCTACTGGAATACTGTGGAAAAATAGCAAGATTTGTTTTTAAATTCCTTCATTTCTAACCATGCAATTTGGTAGAATAACTGCTGTATTAAATAATTCACAAATATTTAGACTTCATTTTTGTACTTAGAGCCCTCGTGAACATCCTATACAGAATTAAGACACAGAGATACCATTAGCTTAGGGAGACCAAACTTTTCAGCATTTTTCTTTCTTTTTTTTTTTTTGAGACGGAGTTTCGCTCTTGTTACCCAGGCTGGAGTGCAATGGCGCGATCTCGGCTCACCGCAACCTCCTCCTCCTGAGTTCAGGCAATTCTCCTGCCTCAGCCACCATGCCCAGCTAACTTTTTGTATTTTTAGTAGAGACGGGGTTTCACCATTTTGACCAGGATGGTCTCGATCTCTTGACCTCGTGATCCACCCGCCTCGGCCTCCCAAAGTGCTGGGGTTACAGGCTTGAGCCACCGCGCCCGGCCTTCAGCATTTTTCAGAGCTTCAGAGATGAATGTTCATTATGTGCTTTATTTTGTTCACTTAGAGTGCATTTTAAAAAAGAATTATACTTTAAAAAATACTATCTTCATCTTTGGTGTTCATACCACCTTCACCTTTGGTGTCCAATTATACACATGAAGCAATACTTTCTATATCGCACCTAACAATGAAATGGGCAACAATATATCTATTAAATGGAAAAACTTTTAAAACACCAGGGGATACCTAAATCAAAAGATTTATTCATTCAGTTCTAGGAGGCTTAACAGGAATGTGTGAGTTAAATTACTATACAGGCATATGTGTAAATCTCTGTTGGAAGGTCGGTAATTTAAGGAGGCAGGTACTTTCCCTTTATAATGGCTTCAGTATTCACTTTGGATATTTTTGGTTAATTTTATACTAGAATTTTGAAATCTATGCAGAAGAACCATGTAGACTTTTTTTTCCCCCTTCTAAAAGCATTCAATGCTTTCTAATCCACAATGAAAATTGATTATAATTTATTTTTAATTGATCCAAAATTAAGAAATATCCCATTCTTTTTAGTGAGTATCAGAGTAGCCTGTAGCCAAAGCCATCTTTATTGTGAATAGAGGAGGGAGACACTGGAAATATATGAGGTTCAATTCTGAATGCCTTTTATTAATATCTGCTGTGTGTGCACCGAGCCCTAGCCTAGGATACAATAAGAAATACAGAAGAAAAGAAACCATGATTTTTGTCTTCAGAGAACTCAGATTCCCTTTGGAGGGATAAGTGCATGCATATGAAATGACCAGAGGATTCTCACTTATGGAGGGCATAGCCCACACTGCCTGTTTAAGTGTTGAGGATAAATACAAATGGACAGACAGGTCCCTGGGGATATACTCAGTTGGGGAAGGTGGAATGGCTGTGAATGGGGAGAGCTACCTCTGAATGCCAATAGTATGCAGCACCTTTTATCTGTTATCTTGTAGGTAGTATCATCTGTGATATAAATTTAAGTTCAGTTCTTTGAAGTCAGGTGTTATGTCTCCTGTAGCACCATTCACAGGCACTTTCACATTGTTGGTACTCAGTAAAATGCCTGCTTCATTAAAGACTTGAAGGAATAATTTGCATTTCCAGAAAACTCTTCAAAAGAGCAAAAAGTTTCCTAGTTTCCTAGTTACAGTTTTAGGAAGCTGAATCTGGTTAAAATCAAGGACTCTAGTATTTGCAGTTTTTGAAGGAAATGAAGCGGAGAAGAGAAGTATGCAGCTATTAAAATTCATGCTAAATGTCATCTTTAGTTCTTCATCTGTACACTTTTAAAGTCAAGTATTAACAATTTCTTAGTGTTCAAGTAATATACTTCGTTGTTAACACATATTTCTTCAACCTACTCACTCCTTCCCACCCTGCAGCCATTGCTTTGAATTTTTTTTCTTTTCTAAAGTTTTATATACAGCAAACAGATAATGTTTAATTTTGATAGATGGGAGCCCTCTCTTGCATTAGCAGTATACTAGATCATGACAAGCTTAAACAGTTCTGCAGTTTCTTACTGAATTTCTAATTTTGCCTTAATAAAAAGAGCTTACTTTTGAGAAAGGTTATCGTTTTTCTTTCACTCGTATAAACAATGTTTAGTTGCTTATTTAAGCTGTCTTCTGAATGCTTGCTCTCTGTGCAGTTGATGAACTCCAGAAACGAGTGAACCAGTCTGAGAATTCAGTACCTCCACCACCACCTCCTCCACCGCCACTTCCCCCTCCACCTCCCAATCCTATCCGGTAAGCACATCCAGGAAGACTGCTCTGCATCAAATGTTCTTCCCCATCAGATTGTGCCCTTAGAGGAGCCATACTAAAAGTGTGAAAGATACTAGCTGGTGCTTCTCTTGGAAATTTTTCTAAAGGCCAGTGATGGCCTTTAGAAAAGGTTTACGGTTTGGTTGTGTCCCCACCCAAATCTTCTCTTGAATTGTAGCTCCCACAATTCCCATGTGTCATGGGAGGGACTGAGTGGGAGGTAATTGGATCATGAGGGTGGGTCTTTCCCATGCCATTCTTGTGATAGTGAATAAGTTTCATCAGATCTGATGGTTGTTATAAAGAGGAGTTCCCCTGCACAAGTTCTCTCTTCCCTGCCGCCATGTAAGATGTGACTTGCTCCTCCTTGCCTTCTGCCATGATTGTGAGGCCTCCCCAGCCATGTGGAACTGTGAGTCAATTAAACCTCTTTCCTTTGTAATTACCCAGCCTCGGGTATGTCTTTATTAGCAGCATGAGAATGCCCTAATACAGCCAATGTATTTTTCCCTTCTTATAATATATAAATTTCATTCAATAACATTAAAATTTCCCTTAACAGTAAGACCAGGGAATTTTGAGCCTCTCCAGAATGTGTTTACTTTTCTCTCTAACTAATTCAAATTTGAAAAGCTCTGGTTTGTTCAATTATTTTAAAAATAAAAATACTAAATGAAAATGTGAACATACTGATTGTTATAAACTAGTAATTAACTAAAAGTACTAATTTTATCCGTATCCTCATATTTATACCTTCAGTAATGCTAAGAGAGGAACCTTCATAAGAAAGATGAATTATGTTTAAATTCTTGTGGCAGGAAGTCACATATGCAGACAGGAATTCGTATTTTCTGAAACCCAAGGTGACATGATGGCATTATGCACCTCACTTGAGCACAATGCACACTAGGAGACTTAGAGTCAAATTTTGCCTTCTTTGTGGTTCCACATGCCACCATCCAGAATTACATAAGACAGCCTCCTTGCCATGGTGACAACTTACCTACTCATGTCATGATGTTAGCTGCTTTTGTATAATTTATTCTTTAATAAATGGCATTTAAAAACTTTTGCTAGGTTTTTTACCTTTCATTAACTCATGAGATTTGTTTAATCCTTTCACACAGAGAAGCCGTTTATTCATGCTTTGCACCTTTGCTGATCCATCTGAATAGAATGTGTAGCATGTTCCTCCCACACGACTATGAAAATGGGACTTTGCCTTTTAAAAAGATTCTCATTAGTTTTCCTTACTGAGTAGGGTATGACATAATCTACTTTAAGCCATTGAAGTAGTTAAGGCAAAATAATTTTTACACGTGATCGATCCAAGAGTCAATTGAAAGAATTTCAGGTATTTTAAAATCTTTCTCTCCTGGGTAGCTAAATCTGTAGGCGATATTCTGGATTTGACATTTAAAATTGGAAATTCATCACTTTGATCTTTCTCTAAGGTCTAGGATTTTGAGCTGATAAGAAAGATCACTTCTGTCTATGAGGAGGGAGAACGATTAAAAAGTAATTACAGTCTTGCTGTTGGCCTTTAATTTTTATTCTCAGAAATGTTGAGAGCCCCTAGAATTAAAGGTAAAATATAACCTAAGTAGAATTTTTTTCCCAAAGAGTACTTTACTGAGAAATGAGTGTTTGGGACTATGTCTCAAGTGTGAACTCTTTTATAAGGCTCTTTACAGAAAATTTTATAAATAATATTAATGCTTTTTGTTTTAAGTTGAGTTTAAATTGTATAGGACATAATTTTGATAGAAAAGAGGGTTTTTTTGTGAGGAATGCTTTCTTGTCAGAGAGGTATATTTGCGTATGTATTTAGTTTGAGTGGATTTTGAATTCACAGATGAAGGTTTTCTAACTTTGTTCCTGACCCATTTGTTTTACCCTGATGTGTAAATCATGGTTAGACATGTAAGTGGGAGAGGAAAAAAAAAGACTACGGCCTGTGGCTTCTTTTTTTTTTGGAGATGGAATCTTATTCTGTCACCAGGCTGGAGGTGCAGTTGCGTGATCCCAGCTCACCATAACCTCTGCCCCCCAGGTTCCAGCAATTCCCCTGCTCCAGCCTCCCAAGTAACTGAGACTACAGGCACATGCCACCGTGCCTAATTTTTGTATTTTTTAGTAGAGACAGGGTTTCACCATATTGATCAAGCTGGTCTCAAACTCCTGACTTCGTGATCTTGCTCTGTTGCCAGGCTGGAATGCAGTGGCCTGATCTCAGCTCACTGCAACCTCCGCCTCCTGGGTTCCAGTGATTCCCCTGCCTCAGCCTCCAGAGTAGCTGGGACTACAGGCGTGTGCCGTCATGCCTGGCTAATTTTTGTATTTTTTAGTAGAGATGGGGTTTCACCATATTGGTCAGGCTGGTCTCAAACTCCTGACCTCGTGACCTATCCAACTTGGCCTCCCAAAGTGCTGGGATTACAGGTGTGAGCCACCTTGCCAGACCGGGCCTGTGGCTTCTTTAAGTGGCCTTACTGCTTTTCCCTTCTCTTTCCACCCCTTTGACTTCAAGAATAGGTAGAAGAAAGAGGAAGAAGGCAAACTTTGGTCATTTTGTCCCAGAGGTAGTGAAAGTAGGATAGGTTCTAGGCAGATATGGAGAGAGAGTTGAGGCTAAGTGTTTTTTTTCTAGAAAAACAGAACCAATTGAATGTGTGTATGTATAGATACAGATATAGGCAGATATATATGCAGATTTATTGTAAGGAATTGGTTCATATGATTATGGATGCTGACAAGCCCCAAGATCTATAGGGTGAGTTGGCAAGTTGGACACCCAAAAGAGTCAATGATGTGGTTCCAGGCTGAGTCCAAGAGCCTGAAAACTGGAAGAACCTATGGTGTAGTTTTATTCCAAAGTTTGACAGGCTCAAGACCCAGAAAGTGGCAGCGTTTCAGTTCAAGTTCGAAAGCAAGAAAAAGCCAATAACCCAGTTTGAAAGCAGTCAGGCAGGAGGAATTCCCTGTTAGTTGAGGGAGGATCCGCCTTGTTGTTCTAATTAGGCCTTCAAATGATTGGCTGAAAGCCACCACCTCAGGGAGGACCATCTGCTTTACGCAGTCTGCTGATTGAAATGCTAATGTCATCCACAACATCCTCATGGAAACACCAGGATTGTGTTTGACCAGGTATCTCCGGCACTCTGTGGCCCGTCAGGTTGACACACAAAATAACTATCACAGTGGACATGACTAACACCCCTTGAAAAACTAACAGGTGAAAATTATCCACTGAAATGTTCAATTTGGGGATGACACATGCCTGAAATTTTATTCATTCAATTGAAATGGCAGTGAAATGGGGCAGTGATGGCTAGAGGTTTGATTATGGGTCCCAGAGGTCTTGACTTAGACTCCTGTGGCATTTGAGTCCTGCCTTCCCTATAGTCTGAGTTTCATCTTGACTGTTGGTTTTCATATTGTGATGATTTTCCTCTGAGCACTGTATGTGTCCAGTTTATGCTTCAACTCAGAATCCTTTAAGCTAACACTTTCTGTCACCCAGGTGGTTTTTGCTAATAAACAGATGTTTTTCTTCACATGTGTGAATATATATATAAGTACTCTCAGCAGTACAGAAAAATTCCTGCTTCATCATCTTTATGTTCAATAATGTACTCTTGGCAAAATTTCCTCACAGAACCAGAGGCGGCAAGGTCAGTGCAGTGTAGTGCGAGGGTAAGGTGAGGCATCTGATTAATGAGAACCCTCCTCACACCCAGCCCGCCACGGAGTGCTAACAAGTAGACATTGGTGTTCAGTTGACGGAATGGAAAAATGAGCAAGTAAAGTTTATTTTATTCTTTATAACTTCTAGAATAATATGTGCTTATTTCAAAGGTCTATGTAAATTAAAATTTCTAACTTTTGTGAAAATAATTTAATTCCATTTGGCCATTGTGAGCCCAAAGAACAGAAACTAGACAAAGGCAGAAGCTCCTTGATTGGTTCCCAAGCTAAATAGAGCAGGATGTGGTTTTTGCTTTTTACTGGGCATTATGGGAGATTATCCACTGAGTTTGGGAATTTTAGGAAAAAGCAATTAGGAAGGGGATTAATAATGTAAGCAAAGGTAGAATTGAAAAGTAAAAAAAGCTGGAAATTATAATGATTAAGAGATTGGAGGCTGGGCACAGTGGCTCGCACCTGTAATACAGGCCAAGGCAGGAAGATCACTTGAGGCCATGAGTTCGGGATCAGCCTGGGCAACATGGTGACACCCCCCCGCTGCCACCCCTGCTGTCAAAAATTTGAAGAACAGTAACCAGGAGTGGTAGTGTACCTGTACTCTCAGCGACTTCAAAACTGATGCAGGAAAATCACTTGAGTGCAGGAGGTTAGAGCTGCAATGAGTGGTGATTGTGCCACTGCACTCCAGCATGGACAAGAGTGAGACCCTGTCTCAGAAAAACAAAAAGGAAAGAAAAGAAGCATTGGGTGATGATACCTTCTGAACAAGTGTTACTCTGTATATCCATTTGCCCCTTTTGCTACGGGAACATTATGCCTTTCTTTTCTTTCTTTCTTTTATTTCTTTTGAGACAGTGTCTCACTCTGTCACCAGGCACCAGGCTGGCATGCAGTGGTGTGATTTCGGCTCACTGCAACCTCCGCCTCCTGGGTTCAAGCCATTCTCCTGCCTCAGCTTCCCGAGTAGCTGGAACTACAGGCATGCACCACCATGCCCAGCTAATTTTTTGAATTTTTTAGTAAAGATGCGGTTTCACCATGTTGGCTTGGATGGTCTCGACCTCTTGACCTCGTGATCTGCCCACCTCGGCTTCCCAAAGTGCTGGTATTACAGGTGTGAGCCACCGTACCTGGCCAACATTATGCCTTTCTTATCCTCCAAGTATTTGTTTTCTGTTGCTGGCTTCCTCAGGACTGTTTTGCAAGTACAGTTCACCACTCTGAGGACATTTATGATGCAGTTGAAGGAATTCAAAAATTCTTGATTCATTCATTATTTGGTAAACATTTTGTTAAGGAAATGATAATATATGCAGATATGTACACAAGCCTATGTGAAATTTTAAAATAATGTTAAAGTGACCATCTATGTAATCACCCTCCAAATCAAGAAATAGGCAATACTGGCACCCTCATTCTTTTCTTTGATCCTTTTCCAAAGATAACCACCTTTCTCCCTAATCACTATCTTTTTTTTTCCCCCCATTTATTTATTTTATTGCATTTTAGGTTTTGGGGTACATGTGAAGAACATGCAAAATTGTTGCATAGGTACACACATGGCAGTGTGATTTGCTGCCCTCCTCCCCATCACCTACATCTGGCATCTCTCCCCCTGCCATCTCTCCCCAGCTCCCCACCCCCCACCGTCCCTCCCTCATTTCCCCCCACTGACCCCAGTGTGCAGTGCTCCCCTCCCTGTGTCCATGTGTTCTCATTGTTCAACACCCGCCTATGAGTGAGAACATGCGGTGTTTGATCTTCTGCTCTTCTGTCAGTTTGCTGAGAATGATGGTTTCCAGGTTCATCCATGTCCCTACATAGGACCCAAACTCATCGTTTTTGATGGCTGCATAATATTCCATGGTGTATATGTGCCACATTTTCCCTATCCAGTCTATCGTCGATGGGCATTTGGGTTGGTTCCAGGTCTTTGCTATTGTAAACAGTGCTGCAATGAACATTATGGTGATCATTTCTTTGCATTATTTAAGAAAAATTTTCCTGCCTAATATGTATCCTAAACTACTGTAAATATCTGTGTGGCCTGGTTTTGAACTTTATATAACTATAATTTTCATGCATCATTGTGGTCTTGCTCTTTTTACTCTACATTATTTTATAAGATTCATCCATGTTGTGTAGCTTAAGTCTATTCATATTCACTGATGTATAATTCACTTTTTGAAGGTCTCAGAATGTACTTTTCCATTGTGGTGCTGATGGACAAATGAGTTATTACGAGTTCTGGGGAATTATGGAAATTATACATGAACATTCTTGTTCATGTATATAGTAGATAGATAGCGCTTTCTGAATTTTATATATGAGTCTTCAAATTTTTTGTCTCTTTCTTTTTGTTAATGTGCATGCATTTTATTATTAGTTATAGCAGTGTCCTCTCTCCAATAATTAGTTAGGTGTTACACAGAAAAGGATGAGACATGTTTCTCTTCTGTAAAGTGATGAAAAGTTTAATATTATTAAAAATGGAAAGTGGGCTACTTAAATTCTAGTTATGTATTCATACACCTACTGAAGAATGAGAAATTTACTGATTATTTAGGCTCTATATGTTTAATTTGTTGGATCATAAGGCATCCAGTAATCTCCCATTGATCTTTTTCTTTCTTCCAAAGATCACTCATGTCCATGATCCGGAAACGATCTCACCCCAGTGGCAGTGGCGCTAAGAAAGAAAAGCCAACTCAACCAGAAACAAGTAAGCATCACTTCTATTTCACTTAAATGATTGATGGTGTAGTTTTGGGGCAATTCACATATTTGTTAAGTTTTTTGCCTATAAACATGTCATTGGAAGAGAAATATGAAGCACTGAACAGCTGTCAGAATGAACCAGAAACCATCATTGCTTTCCTGTAGTTTGTTATCTAAAGGAAATAAACATGTACAACTCACTGCAATGAGAGACATACTGGCAAACCTGTTTTTATTAAGGGTCAGGGTACCTTGGAGTGTACAGGAAAGAGGGAGTAATTCCAAATGAGGGGTTTGGGGAAAGATTTCTTATAGTTGGTAGCAAGTGAGCTGGGACTGTATCAAGCACTTAGTATGTACTACTCCACTTTTGTGTGCTGGAGGTACACAACATAGAAGTTACATTCTAGTGTAACTAGGAGGAAGTAAACAAGTAAATATATAATTATTTAAATGCAATTAAGGAGTAGTACATGGTGCTAAGAGATTGTGGAGGTGGACTGCTGGCATCTGAAAGTGATGTTCAAGCTGAGTAGTTGTACATTTAGAACACTGGGTGGGTTGGGTGGCGGTGTTAATGGTAAGACTATTTCAGATAGAGGAGCAGCAGATTCAAAGGCCCAACATATTTAGGAAGGAACTTGGCATATTAGGAAACTGAAAGAAGGTTGATATGGCTGGAACATGGGGTCCAAGAGAGCAGGTCTAATAGGTAGGCAGGAGCCAAATTCTGGAGGCCAAGGTCAAGATTCTGGAATTTCTCCTAAGAGCAGTAGAAGTTTCAAGTAGAGGTATAACATGATGAGATGTGTCCTTAAAAAAAATCTCACAGGCTGCAGTGAGAGAACAGACTGTAAAGGGATTAGGGTGGATGAGGGACAACTATTGCAGTCATTGAGATGAATGCTGATGGCAGCTTAGATGAAGGTGGTAGAGTCATGCATACATTCAGGAACTATTTAGGGAGGTAAAATTCACAGGACTCTGGTTCATTGGAGATAGAGGTATAGAGGACAATGATGAGATAGGAATGGAGGGAGATAGGCCCTCCCATTGAGCAGAGCCAGCAGATGGCTAGGTGCAGTGGAGTCGTTTCACAGATGCCAGCAGTTTGGTGTGCAGCCACAGTGACAGCAAAGGCTTAAAACAAGGGGGCCAGATCTTGGTCCTCCGTTCCTGCTGGTCTCATTCCATAGCCTCCATGCAGATTCTGGGCAGACAGCTGGTATATTCTAGACTCTTCGTTCTCCTGTTTATCCCATTTTGTTAGTATAAACAACATGATAATGAGTAGCTTTGCAGGGTGACGGCATTTTGTTTAAATTCTGTTACTTTAAGGATTTAATATCCCACTCCCTACCTCTACTCTGGCTATTGTGTTTTGAGTTATTTCTGCCTCTCTCCTGCCGAGGAGATTGCAAGCTCTTTGAGGGTTTACTCTTCTTGGCAGCATCCCACTGCTGTCACGAATATTGAATGAATTGAAGTTTGGACTTAGTTTTTTCTTTCTTAGCGGAAATCTTGCAGCACCATTACAAATGAAAGCTGATTTCATCTCTAAGAATTGGCTTTCTGTGCCTGCCTTCTGCAATCCTTTGGAATATATTCCTCTGCACATTAATGGGGCTGAAAGGCAAATTCTGCATTGCACAAGGCATTGCAAGATTCTAACGCAGTTCTGCCGTTGGTGATTTGCTGGGAAGACCCGCTCTTGGGTTACTGGCTATTAGCATTTCCTGATGCTGTAATTTACATTTTGTTTCAGTTTTTTTTTTGGGGGGGGAGATAATTGGTATATCTTAGAGGAATGGTAGGAAATTGTAATAAAATGAATTTTCCTTCCAAGTAAATTACATCATCAGCTTCTCAAACAAAGTCCCTTGTCAACTTTAATAGTACCCTTAAATTAAAAAGAAAAATTATTCTAAAATGTCTTAACCCCCAATTTTAGGCACCGTACAGTTTTTCTTACAAAAATTATGTTTTATTTATAATTCATTAAACGTGACTATTTTTTCCCCACATCCTTGGGCTACCAGATTGCTATTTTGGGATTCTAAAGAAAGTTACCAACATGGAAATTGCTCTTGAGATTTTAGGCTGGAGCAACCCTAAAAATCAAACAGCCTTGAGTAATTCATGCTGTACTCACACGTTGCTGAAGCAGTACCCTCTTTCTATCTGGCAAGGCAGTTATTTATAGTGGCTTATTAATAGGTCACACTGAAAAAATAGTTGTTGAGTGAATAAATTTGTTGGGGGGAAATAGGGGAGGGACAGTGGGGGGTGGGGAGTTGGGGAGAGATAGCATGGGGAGAAATGCCAGATATAGGTGATGGGGAGGAAGGCAGCAAATCACACTGCCACGTGTGTACCTATGCAACAATCATGCATGTTCTTCACAGTACCCCAAAACCTAAAATGCAATAAAAAAAATAATAATGGTTAAATGCATGAGAATTAATGGTTAAATGCATAATGTAAGACATCAATCATTGGGATTCTCTGTGACACTTTGGGGTTTACATTCATAACATAGTGACTCATCTCACAGTCACTGTGTTTTCTTATGTTAGCATCTTATGTTGGCTTTTAACATACAGTTTGTAAGGCTTTCAGAGTTTTTAAGTGGGGAAAATTTTACTCCTTACTTATGGCTCTTAAAAAACTTCATTGTTAAGGAAGGACTGTAGAATATTTTATATGTAGTTTTAAGAGTTGAATATAAGACATCATGACAAACTCTGAATATAATAACTCTGATTTTGACAGGAATGTATTTATTAGGCCAGTTATGGATTTCAAAGGTATGCCTACTCTTTATCACATATTTAGGTCATTAATTTATTGATATTTTCTTACTTCCCTGTGCCTTGATTTGCTAATCTGCAGAATGGAAATAATACTATTTCCTATTTCAAAGGTTGTTGTGAGAATTAGTGAGTCTCACAACATGAAAAGTGTTTAGAGTAGTATCCAGCACAGAAAATACTCAACATGTTAGCATGGAAAACATGGAGAAGGTACCAGCCATTCTTTGGGAGGGGCAAAGGGAATCCTCATCCCACAGGCTCTTGTGATTATCGTAGCTAAGGAAATTTCTTTAACTTTATGACCTTATGTCAAATTTGAATGTAATTCAACTATAATATATTCTGTAGAAATTTGGTACCTCATAGTGGAATAAGATTTTTTTTAAATTACCTTTAAAAAAAAGTTAGTGAAAGAAATAGTAATCCTGTGGAATTTGGAAATTCTTTTATTTCTTCTAGGTAGTAATAGAAGGTTTTATTTAGTAATAAGGTGATGGTTTTGTCTTTGGGTCTTTTTTTTTTTTTTTTAAAGAACTGAGTTATTTTTCAAGTGGGTCTTAAAATTTAAGCCCCAATTAATTACATGTAGCTTTCTGATCCAAGACTGACCCTGAAGCACTAACTCAAAGAGCATTTGATTTTATTTTTCTGTGGCAGTTCAATAACATTAGACCTGTTGTCTTCATTTGTCCCTTTTCTTTAATCTCCAGTATCCTGCATATTTCTATTGTCCCCCTGATTACATGCTTTTGTGAGACAATTACCAACTGTGTGATTGCAGAAAGAATTACAAAACATACCATGAGCTCTCTGTAGGCAGTTCTTGCAGATTTATTAGAACTGCTTAATAGTTCAGAAGTTCGTATAGAATGCTTTTTGCTAGTTCAAAAACAGGGTCGGCAAGAGAGAAAGCTTGTGTAGCTAACCTAGCGTTGCCCTTGTATTGCGCCTGAGTAGGGAATCTGATAAGAATGATTTCTTTTCCTTAAAACCAATTAAGCCTTTACATTTGAAAAAGACTGAGAAATTAAAGCCTGGTTTATAATCTGTACACAATACAGATAGTGGCACGTCTCTGAATTATCACTATGATTCTGGCAAGCAAATATAAGAAACTACTTTAAATTCCTGCTATGTTAGATGCTGTAGCGGATTTGAATGGTGTTGACCATAATTCTCCATCTGTCTGCCTTAATTAGTTTTTGTATGGTGCATTTAATTGGGTTTCAGTCATTCCTTACAGAGTGCTAATCTGTTTGTAGGCAGTGTTCCTATTACCATGCAGCTCTTCCTAGTCTCAAAATGGCAGACTTTCTGAAAAATCAAATGTTTTAAAAATGTATTTTCTATAGTGAAACCTCATCTCTACTAAAAATACAAAAATTAGCCAGGCATGCTTGCATGTGCCTTTAATCCCAGCTGCTTGGGTGGCTGAGGCAGGAGAATTGCTTGAACCTGGGAGGTGGAGGTTGCGGTGAGCCGAGATCACACCATTGCACCGCAGCTCTGGGCGACTGAGCAAGACTCTGTCTGGGGGAAAAAGAAAAAAATATTTTCTAAATTCTCAGGAATAAATCCTACACCCATAACAGGTGCTTGAATGGCAGATCTGGGTTTTCAATAGGGTGAGCAAAAGCACTGTGTAGTTCACAGCAGATACTCAGATACAGAGGAAAGGGAAGGGAGGGAAAGGGGAAGGGGAAGGGAATTTTTACCCATCATAATTTACTCATCTGCTCCTTTGTTGATGTTTGTGAGCCGTCAGAAGAAGCTGCCCAAGAAAATGCTACTTAAGGGTTCATGGTTGATCAACCCACAGTTTAGTCACCTTTCACTTACTGGTACATGAATAACTTTGGTGACCATGTTTGCCATGTTGCTTGGCAAAAGATACCTTTTTAACTTCTGGATCTAAAGATGTTGTTTAGATGTTGAGAGGTTTTAATTTTCAGCATTTCAGTGGCTTCTGAGATTGACAATTCTTCTTGAAGTTAGGACAGTATCAGAAAACTTAGGTTATACAGTGAATATAGCAGTGATCCCTCATTGTGGACCTGTAGACATGAGGATAATGGAAACTTCTGGACTCTCTTAGTTGCTCCCCTAGGTGCTTACACAAGAGGAATGGCTACCCAGGGTTGGAGTGGAGTTTGGCCTTGTAGCAAAAAAAGAAGCCATTTAATTTAGGCATCCTTATTGCAAAGCCTGATACTAGAGCTGATTAGCTTGGGGTTGTGGTAGTGATTGCCTGCATTTAGAAGCCAGCCTTTTGGGGTTTAGTCATTTCAAATCAAATAGTAAAAATATTAGTGGACATTTAAAGTAGAAACTACAGAAGTCAATAGTCAGTAGAGACTTGTTGAATGCCCACCATATTGCCAGGCAGTGTAGAGTCTATTAAAGATACCAATAAGAAGTTCCTTAAGAGATAAACTCAAATGTGTTGGCTGCAGTGAGCTAGATGAAGTTAAACACAAGACCTAGAACTGCATTAATGGTGATAAATGTTCTGAAATGGTTCTGTGATTTTGGTCAAGTTATTCTACAAGAGAGACATTTCACTTTTTTAATCAACAGATTTAAATTCACCTCAGTTACATTCATTCAACTGATAACACATCTCTACCTCTTTTTTATTTTATTTTTTGCAGCAAAATAGTGCCAAGGTTAAACAATAGATAGTTGAATTTTAAAATCACATGTAATTACTTAATTGCAATTATTGCTACATGTATGTTTTTCTTTTAACATTGACAATTTTAAAAGACTCGAGAAAGTTTGGCTTAAATGTTTCCTTTCCAGGGGAGCACTACACACTGGGGTCAGTTGGGGGGAAATAGGGGAGGGACGGTGGGGGGTGGGGAGCTGGGGGGGGATAGCAAGGGGAGAAATGCCAGATGTAGGTGATGGGGAGGAAGGCAGCAAATCACACTGCCATGTGTGTTCCTATGCAACAATTTTGCATGTTCTTCACATGTACCCCAAAACCTAAAATACAATAAAATAAATAAATGGGAAAAAAAAATGTTTCCTTTCCATGTGAACAAAAGATGGCAATTAAAAAATATATTTTATTTATTTGCTGCTTGTCTTTTGACTATAGATTTATTCCAACAAGAAAAACATCTGTTTGATCTTTTTTCACTAATGGATTTCTGGAAGTTGTTTCTTTTTTGGGCTGATTTCTTTGACATAGGATGTACTGTAAATTGTAAAAATGTCTTTTGAGTGGAAGATTAATTGGTATTAGGCACAAAGTTTGTATTTTAAAGACCCGGAGAAATGTTGACAAATGAACAAAGTCTGCCTTGTTGACAGAGGGGAAACAATATTGACTTGGATCTGGGCTACAAATTTTTACAACTCTTATTTTTCTAATCAGATTTTTTATCTAAAAAATTTTTATTTAAACGTTGCTACTTGATAGCTGTTAATCTTAGTAAATTTTTAGTGTTCTGCAACTGTGAATGAAAAATGACTGTGATTAATTACATGGTGTAGTTTTTCCAAGTCACCAAAAACAGGAAGTAGCTGTTTTCTTGTAACCTAAGAGGATTTATGTATGTGTTCTTTGAGCAGCTGAAGAAGTCACAGATCTAAAGAGGCAAGCAGTTGAAGAGATGATGGATAGAATTAAAAAGGGAGTTCATCTTAGACCTGTTAATCAGACGGCCAGACCGAAGACAAAGGTATGGAGTGACTAAATGCTTTTTTCCCTGCTTGCTAATTCCTTATTTTAATGTACGAATTTGAAATTTGATGAAAGGTGCATCAGGACTCACTGTCAAATCTTAGGATAAAGCTAATATGTCATTAAAGTGTTTACTTCCATATAAGCATGTTTCAGGAACCTAAATCAGTGTGGAAAGGAAGCCATGTTATTTTGGGGGTGCTGTCGTCATATTGCGAGAGGTAGTGATATGGACTCTTAAACCAAACAAATAACAATTGTCACATCCTTTCTTTTCTTTGATTCCTGATTCTTTTGTGTGATTCTATTGATTATCTACTATATGCCAGATACTGTTTTAGGCATGGGGGATAAAGTAGTGAACAAAATAGGCAAAAGCCCTCACCTTTCTGAGGCTCCTGTTGTAAGGGAGGGTATCACATAATAATAATGGCAAAATAAAACTAAGACAACTTTGGGGAAAATAGTGAGACTTCTATGATTGTTTTTCATTCATTTCACAAATGTATTCCAAGTCACTTCAAGGAGAAAAAGTCTCTCCTCAACTAGACCACAGCGAGCGCTCCAGGATCTGTGAAGGCACTTAGAGTCCCATTCATGATCTCTCCCCTGCCTTTGTGTATTTGCTACTGTTAAGCCCAATGATAGTTTTCAACATTTTTCTTGAAAAATATTCTTTCTCCTTTCTAATTAAGTATGAACTGACTGGTTCTTCCTCTTTCTCCTCTTCCTCTTCTTCTTTCCGCTTCTTCACTAACCTTTATGGTTTGGTTCATTCTCCTTCCTCAAGGCTGCCCTGCTTCAGCTGCGTAAAATGTCCCCCAGTGTTCAGTACACATTCTGATGGGCTTTCTTTTTCTTTCTTTCTTTCTTTCTTTTTTTTTTTTTTTTTCATTTTTAAGATGGAGTCTTGCTCTGTCACCAGGCTGAGTACAGTGGCAATCTTGGCTCACTGCAACCTCTGCCTCCCAGGTTCAAGTGATTCTCTTGCCTCCACCTCCTGAGTAGCTGGGACTACAGGCATGCACCACCATGCCAGCTATTTTCGTATTTTTAGTAGAGATGGGTTTCACCATATTGGCCAGGATGGTCTCGATCTCTTGACCTCATGATCTGCCTGCCTCAGCCTCCCAAAGTGCTGGGATTATAGGCGTGAGCCACTGTGCCCAGCCTCTGATGGGTTTTCTAAGTTACCACTTTGCCACAGGCAGACAAGATAGGTAGGCCAGGCTAGAGTGGCTTTAGTGTGGGCTGTATATGGAACAGGATTGGGAAGAGGCAACGAATACTCAATTCTAAGAGTAAATTTATATCTAAGGAAACAGAAGCTTCAGCCAACCACGTAAAATAGTTCAGTCTTGTGCCCATATTCGGAAAGCAGTTTTCTAAGTAAAGGATGAAATGTAAAACTGGAGGAGAAGCTAAGTGTGTTGAATGATTAGGCACAGCTGGCCCAGTGCTGGTGTCTGGTGAGAGAGTGAAGAGCAGAGCTGTTGGAGCTGGGCCCTGGCACTGTCACCCAGCTTCCCCACACTTCTTCTCTTCCAGATGGGAATAGCACCCGGCTTATCTGACACATGCGGTTGTTGTCAGGATCAAATGGAATAAAGTGTGAAAACACTTTAAAATGCAAGGTCTGAGTGCCACCTTTGAAAAAGAAGCCGTTTTTATGACTTTTATATCACCGCTAATTATGGAAAGAATAAGCAAAAACAAACTATTACTAGAGAAAAATGCAGTTCCATAAAGAAACAAAATTCATTTTGAAAGAAAAGGTTGAAAATTTCTTAAATCGTGAGCAATCAGTGTTCCATACATACTTTCATCTTCACTTTGTGCTTTTTCAGAATATCACTTTGTGCTTTTTTTTTCTTCCCATAACTCCTCCTGCAGTTACACATTATTTAATGTCAATTCAAAATCTGGGAAGCAACTGAACAAGGATCAGTGGACGACTGGGTTTTTTGCTGGTAATCTTAAACTGTGTAGATACAGTGCTGAATGACCTGGTCAGTAACTTTAAAACAAATGATCACTGCATGCTTGAGGACAGACATCTTCCCCTAGTACCATCTGGGCTTTCCTGAAATGTGACAAATTATGATATTGTGTGGTCCAGGCTTCAAAAGGTGTGTGCAATCAGAGGGCAACCTGAGTGGCATAGCAGCACTTTTGGGTATGCCTCAAGGCTGGTCATTTGTTTGAAGATCACAACTTGTCACCTGAAGAGGTGACCTGCAGAAGTCAAGCGTGCCTTGAGAATGTTAATTTAACTGCTTATTTTCTAAATTCCTTGGTGGTGGTGGTGGTGGTGCCAGTGTGGTTGAAATTAGTGTCTTAGTGCTTACTGACTGGCACTGAGGGCATGTGTATTTCACAGAAAATCTGTGCTATGAGAGCTGAATGCCTTAGTCAGCTTTGTACACAAGCAGCAAACCTCTCTCTGTCTCACTTCTCTGTTTTTAAAATTTGAAATGGGGTCTTATTTTCTAATTCTGTTTTGAGAGAAAAGGATTATAGGTCGCTGTTGATTAACTTTTATTTTCTGATGATAGAGAATATAACCTTACCTATTTTCCAGGAATAAGAGGCTCAGGAGTTCCTTTCACTATGTCTTGCAAATGTCCCCTTCATCTCTATCCTTCATGAAAGGAAGTGGTACAAAGGAGATCAGAAGTCTTTCCTGAACTTATTTTTCATGAGGACCTCATGCTAAATTTTTTCTCCATTAAATTAGTTGAATGATCCACAGAGATCATTAGGTATATTGGGGTATATACTATATCATACCCAGAATTTACTTCAAATTACTTTGTTGATGGTGTGGCCAGAAGAGAGCTGAGCTTGTAATCAAGACATCTGACTCAAATACTACCTTGCTCAAGCCTGACTTTCCTTCCAAGATGAATGATTGGACTACACGTCCTCTGAGATCTGACTGCTCTGGCAGCCAGCCATGCCAACATTTCTCCTGTAAGCCAGGTTCTTTGCTGGTCCCTGCTCTCTCGACTCGGTCCTTTTGTGAAATTCTTGTGACAAGACGTGCCAGGCCCCTGTAAGCTAAACTCCTCCTGGAGCTGGTGGAACTAAGAGAGGTTTTCTGCTCTGTGTCTTGCTTCTGCTCTGCACTGCCTTCTTCCTAGTCCCTGCTTGGTGGCAGAGTCCAGCAATGCAAGTGGAGAGTAGTTTATTGTAAGAAGCTCTGAATAATTTGGAATCAGATCTTTGAAATCTGATGTCTACCAAATCTTTTCTGCCTATGATGATAATCAAGAGGTAACAATATGGTATTTAGAAGAGGGTAGCTTGTCTCCTTTTGCTTTGAATATAACTTCTTATTTTTTGTTTAACTGCTGCTTGGGAGCACTAACATGGCTAATATTTTTTCCTAACCTTAAGGCATACATCTAATTTAAAAATATATATTGTCATACACATTACCAATATAAGGCTACCAATACTACATGTAAAAATCATTGTTTAGTATTTTAAAACTGAATTACTCAGTAATTTTTTTTCTTTTTAAAATTATAGCCAGAACCTTCAAAAGGCTGCGAAAGTGCAGTGGATGAACTAAAAGGAATACTGGTAAGAATAGATCTCGGTTTTGTTGTTTAGCTAATGGGGAAATGGAAGGAGAGTATTTTAAAACCTGGTTTTTGTGAATTGTTTGTGGTGTGTTTTATTCCCATTTACAATTAGCCTCATCTTTAGCCAGTTTATTTGATTGTGCTTACAGATCATTCCATCACATATGTTAATAATGTTTCAAATAACACTGTGCTGTTTTTATTCTAAAAGAGTGGTTATACTTTCACCAAAGTCATTGTTTTCCGTTCTTGCTCTCCAGTCCCATCAAGCTTGATGATGAAGTGTCTGGCCCTATGTAAGGATCCATACATGTTGATGAAAAACAGAAATACGATAGATAGTGCTTTACTTTGAAGCCTGAAAGCAGAATCCTAAACGTGAAGCTAAGCTCATCCCCAAATAGCTTCATATCAGGATCACAGTCTGCCTTTCCTCACCATCGAAACAATTATTTGATGATAAGTTGAAGAATAAAATAAGAGGCTCTTTTTTATGTTACTAATTTCATTTTTCTCAAGGTTGGAGAGCATACTTCGTGTCCCTCCTGAGTCACAGTTTTGCTTTTCAAACTGTGAGCTTTAGCCAACGGAATCAGTGGCTACGGCACTCTCCAGCAGTTGCTGTCAGAGACAGATGCCTCACTTAGAAAATGTTTCAGATACTCAGAGCTCTATTCTCAGATCCTGTTAGAGTCCCAATCCCAGTTATTATGCACAGTAAGTCAACAAACATGGGGGCGGAGGTGCAAGACTGAATACTCCCATGTTTGTTGTTGCTGTGCTAATTATGCATTGCATGTAGACATCCACATAATTGTGGTAAACAAGATTGTTTTCATCAAGCATGTCTTTAAACAGTAGACTTAACCCAGAATGGCTTAATTAGTTTGCTTTAGTTTTAAGTGAGTGGGATTAGCACTGAAGAGCGGTATATCACTGGCTAACAGTGGTGGTCTACCTACAGAAGAATAATGTATTAAAGGCATTGAAAAAGCATGTGGTGATTATCGAATGGATTCTTTGATTAGAAAAGTCTGTTATTCAGTGTTGTATTAAGGAGAACTCCTTATGACAGTCTCTTTGGTTGTGTTCGTGTTATACTGCTAATTCATGTTCATAAACATGTGCCCTGGGGCACAGTTCTGGTCAACAGTGAAAGAGGAAACTATACTGAGTTTGACTTTTAAAAAATTAGGTTAATTTTGAAAATCAGACATCTATATGAGATAGATATGATAATGTTTAATTAGCCAAGATATCCCATTCTCTGAGAATGCTGGATGGTAGCAAGTTTACTGCATTACAGCATTACTCTTAAATACCATATTCACCATAATTTTGTGCCACTTCGAGGAGAGAAATTTGTGAAATAATTTATAAATTATAAAAAATTTGAAAACATCTTTTTTAATGCAAATTGCCCCATCCTTCTTCCCTTGGTTCTCATTAGATCTCTCTGCCTTACCTGCATTAATGTATCACTAGGAGTTACTACTCTGACAGTATGATTTATTTGCATTGTTTTTTAAAAAGTAAAACTCATGATTTTCTCCCCTACTCTTTGCCAAGTGGCAGTTCTTCTCTTCTCCCATAGAAGTTTCTTTGAGGGAGATTGGACTATTTGTAATTCCCAGTCACCTGGAGCCTACAAACCATACACATTCTTATAAGAAAGAGAAAAAAAAAAAAAGCTCCTAGTGCAGCCTGCCAAACATTTGGGTCTTGAGTGGTGCTTGTTGCTGGAGTTCATACTATTTGGATTATTGAAGTTAGTGCCCTGTAAAGCACATGGTGCCAACCTCACAATCATAGCGTGTAAGAAACAAGATGGAACACGAAAAGCCTGCAGTTGTGTACTGAAGTGGAAAGCAAGCACCGGAACCAGGGGACATCAAGAAACATGGTGTTCAGTTCTATTGTAGAACAGAACCAGGAGGAAGCTCAGTGTGGGTTATTTTTGATGAAATGGACGTGACCCATAAGACTTAGTGACGTGGCCTTCTGCTGAGTTAGCCCACTGGTAGAAAACAAGGCTTTGGTTTGGGGGAGTTTGAAAACCCTACTCTATTTTTTGGGTTGAAGAATTTTCAAGCCAATTTTTAATGTCTCAGTATTGACTGAACTCATTTTTCCAAACCTACTTATGCTTAAGTTTTAAAGCTGGGTATTTTGTAGATACAAATATGTATAGTCCATTTCTCATAGTCACAGAAGGTTTTGAGGTTTAGGAAATAAAGCCTTTTGAGTCACCCCAGTCACTTAAAAAGCCACTCTAAGTGACAGTGGTGATTTCTGAAGAATAAATTGATGCAAATTAAAATTGTCTTCTCAATTTCAATTGGCTCTAAATCCAAGAACTAAAAGCAACTTAAAAAAATTATATTATGGGTCTTTTCCAGCCATCTTTGGTTTTCCAGAGTACCTAGAAATTTTTGAATAGTTAATTTTGTCTGACAATTAGATTAGTCAGTTTTATGAACATTTAACTAGCATGGAGCTTAAGATCATTAAATGATCGCAGTGGTTTGAAGTAGAAAAGAGTACTGATTTGGGACTTGGGAAATCTAAGTTCTAGATCCAGCCCTATCAGTGACTTACTGTGGGACCTGGCCCCAGATCCTGAGGCTCACTGAATTTGAATTCTCTTTTCTATAAAGTGAAGGAATTACATGTACCACAGAGTTTCTAAGTTAATTTCTGATTATCAGATTTTATGCTTCTAATATAAAGAGATAACTTAAATAGTCTTGGTATTTTATTAGCTGAGCTTGTCATCATTTCAGTTGAGAGTCATGCAGAAACCTTTATTTCCTCCACAATTGCCCCTGTATTGAAAGTTTACTCATATATTAGCTGAAGCCACCTCATCCTTCAGTAAATGGAGAAAGAAGTTGGGGATTCAAGGGTTAGAACGTGGAAAATGGATTCCTTCAGTAATCAGGTATGATGAGAGAATAGCTTACTACAGTCAAGAATTTGAGGAAAGAATGCCGTTGTCCAAATAAAAAGCTAGAAAATATTGTGAAAGATACATTCATCAAAAAAGATATCCTTGAAAGGTATGTATGTATGTATGAACACACATATAAATTTTCCTTGAATTAAATCAAGTGATTGAGAAAAATTACACAGTGTCCTTGATATTCAAACAATGCAGTAGTTTTATAACATATTTTAGTAGTGATAACCATATGTTTTTCAAATATCTGTTTACAAATGATAGAGACGGTAAGTTTTTAAAAATTATAAATACAAATGATATGGAATAGTTGTTGTAGTACTTTTTTCAAATGTATCTGAAGTGGCTGTAGTTCTGTTTTGTGTACCTTGTCAGTATCGGTCATACCTCAATGTGTGACTCCTACACAAAATCATATCAGCAATGTTAAAGAAACAAACTAGATTTTAATGATAAAATAAGCCATTATATTGTGATTTGTGATGTGATATTCCTTTTAATGTATTTAATGATTTTTTTGCAATAAATGGAAAGCAAAACAAGGTACTTTTTTTCTTTTTTTGAGACAGAGTCTCACTCTTTCTCCCAGGTTGGAGTATAGTGGCGCAATCTCGGCTCACTGCAACCTCTGCCTCCCAGGTTCAAGCGATTCTCCTGCCTCAACCTCCTGAGTAGCTGGGATTACAGGCGTGTGCCACCACGCCGGCTAATTTTTGTATTTTCAGTAGAGACAGGGTTTCACCATGTTGGTCAGGCTGGTCTCAAACTCCTGACCTCATGATCCGCCCGCCTCAGCCTCCCCAAATGCTGGGATTACAGGTGTGAGCCACCATGCCCGTCAAAACGAGGTACTTCTAGGGAAAAAAAATTATATGCCTGGTTAAAATATGAGCCTTATGATCTAATCTTGTTAGTCAGATTCTTCCCTGACTGCTTTTATATAACTTTCTATACTTTTTTATGACTTTAAGCAGTTAGGGAAAAACTTTCCTAAACAAAACAACATAGCTTGTAACATATGACGTTTGTAACCATCTGATTTTACAAGCACCTTTTTTTGTTTTATAGGCTAAAGAAGAAACAAGTGTTACCATTTTTAGCCAGTAGAATTCTTAGAATCCTCAGGTAGTTGGCAGGCCAGGAGGGAGCAGGATTAAGGCAACCCCTCAGTGAGTTCAACCCATACAAAGGCTGGCAAGGTTATTAGCCTTGGTGGACAAAAGCTGCCTTTTGACTCTGTCATGAAGTCTGGCAAGTTAAACCAGACTTGAGGTTCTTTTTTCCTCTGATCAAAAGATTATGGTTCTCCTGCCTTCCCCTCCCTCCGCTGCTGCCCAAGTGTGTGGCACAGCTGAGAAGGACCATTTCAAAGAAATATTGGGCATCTTTTACCAAAGACTTGATGTATTGAATCCTTATATATCACTGAGAAGTACATCACCCAGTGTTCTGTCCAAACACTTGACTAGTAATGGAGATGGAAAACCTTAGCTATCACTCTGTGTGACATACTTCCCAGAGGAGCCAGAGCAGGGAAACATGGATCTTTCTCTGTCTTCTTGAAAGCCAGTATCAGTTTCAGGAGGAGTAGATTTATAGCATCTCTTGTTTCCTTCAGTATCTTCTGGGCCCTGAATAATATATTATCTGTCTCCTGTCTTAAGAATGTGGAGTTGAGATGCTGACCCTTGCTTTACCCTCTGTATGATTATAACTTTCCTTTCACACTGAAGTCAAGATGTGCTCAGTGCAACCCTTCTTTGGGTCGGCCACGGGAGAGCATTATGTGCCTCCTTTGACAGCCACGACGCCATGGACATCAGGTGTGCAGCCAGGGCTACTTTCTGAAGAATCGGTCACACATTTTTCAGTGCCACTATGATTTCAGTTTAGTAGCTTGTGGCTGCCATATAAAGATTTCCTTCTAAGGTGAGTTTAATATATCAATTCTCTTGTCTACCCATTCAATACACATCAGTCTTAATCATCGATATGCAAGTACCTTCCCACTGATGAATTTCATAGTCCCCTCTTCCAGAAGTGTTCTTGTGCTGTTCTTCTGAAACAAAAGCTAGCATTTTACACCATCAGTAGCATCTTCTTAAATGATCCAACACTCTGTCTTGTTGAAAATGTGCACATTAAAAAATTAATATATAGCAAATTCATTTTATTTCCTGATTCCATTCAAATTCTGATAATGTTTTCATGGTTTGATTTTTATGTTCTTTTGTGTGTTGTATTAAGACATTAACCTTTTTGTTTTTGTTTTGTTTTCACTTTAGGGGACACTTAACAAATCCACTAGTTCAAGAAGCTTAAAATCCCTTGACCCTGAAAACAGTGAAACTGAGTTAGAAAGGATTTTGCGTCGCAGAAAGGTGACAGCAGAAGCAGATAGCAGTAGTAAGCTGGTTTGAATTCTCCACAGTCCTTCTCTTCACCTCTGAAACACCTTCTTCTAAGTCCCTTTTAACATGAAACAATCTTTTAAAAATTATTATTAAAATATTTATTTTTAATGTGAGTGAGAAGTATGGGATGGGTTATTTATGCATATCTCATAAGAACTCTTAGATGTGTTTATTTGTTGATATATTTATTTATTTGTAAGTAACCAGGCCTTTATAGATCTGATTTTGTTGAATGCCAGATGCCCTTGGTAAAGAAATGCAGAAAGAGTTTCGGCAACCATATAACATCGAGTACAGACTCTGGAGTCAGACCACCCAAGTTTGAGTCCTAGTTCTCTTGGATACTAGCTGGTTGCCCTTAAGCAAATTACTCAACTTCTCTGTGCCTCAGTTTCTTCATCTATAAAATGAGAATAATAAAAGCTCTGCTTCCTAGGATTATTCTAAAGATTAAATCAATATGTGAGAAATCATTAGTAGTTGCAGTAGAAATTGCACATCAGTTACGAATGCAGGAAAATCATCATGACTCTTTGTATCCATTTAGCTTACTGTGCCTACCTGTGAAATGAGTGACAAATTCCAGCTCTGTCACCAACTGTAATGTGCCATCTGATCAAGTATTGAGTTCAGTTTGTATTTGTGTGACATTAGGTCGGTATTAGCCTCAGTATTTATCCCAGAACTGTGCATGTCTTGTGCTGCTTCATCGGCTGGATCATGGGAATTAACAGAAACCTTCATGAGGTTTCCCCTTGTGGGCAGGCAGGAGGCTGACTTTAAAAAACCACCTTAAAGTAAAATTAATCAGCAACCACAGCTAATGGCCTGAAGCTTCCTGATTAAATTCAGTCAGCTTCAAGGAGCCTATCATAATAGTTTAAATCTGGAGAATACTGAGTCACATCGACCAAATTTAAGTAGCTACAATATTACAGATGGATTTTTGATCATCAAGTTCTAATGTTCAGAGAGAGATTTGCTCAGATAATTGAGTAAATTGATTCCTTGAACCCAAAGTGGCTTAATACCAACCAAACTTTTATTATAAAAAGACGAAACTTTTGTTTTCTTCTTTAAAAAAAGATCAGCATTCAATTTTTAGGTTGGTCTGGAAGTTTTGTTGTTAAAAATCCTACAAGGATTCTGCCACCTGCAGTGCCCTTGAAAACAACTACTTCAGGAAAATTAAGAGGTTACCACAACATTTTTTTCCTTAGGATGGCTTTGCGAGCATCGTGCAGCCCGAGACATACAGTCGTTAATCATTTTGTGACTTCATCAGTGCTTGAGTCATCCTTTTCATTGTTTCAGCCTTAAAGTTGCTCATGTAAACATTGCTATTTTTAAGGACTTCGTCCATGTGCCATTTTAGTGCTCTGTCATTCACATTCTGTATTTTGCCACTGGCTTTTTTATTTCTCCAGAAACATTCTTACTTCACTCATGACTTTGGTCAAAATGTACAACACTCACATTTCAGAATTAGTTTTCAATCTAAGAAGTGAGCAAAGGTTTTCACTTAATATGGAAATTTGAATATTTCAGAGTAGAGAAAGGAATACATTTCATGTACATGGAGGGAATCTTTTATTTACTACATTCCTCCAATACACAAATATTTAATGCATTATTTTAGGTCAGTTAGAATAGAAAATACACATTCAATAAAACCATTAATAAATGAATAGAAAAACAAGAACTGTCATTGGCTAGGTAGAGAGCAAACATACGCTAAGAGAGTGACTTGTAATTGAGCAAAAATTTCCTTTGAGTTTCCTAATAGCCAAAGCAAAAGAAAAAAAATGAAGGAAACAAACTTACAAACTCTCATCATCTAAAGGAGAAATCATACCATTGTTTAGGTGGTACAAACGTTTTTCTATTATCAAACTAGAGGTGGTATTTACCATGTGAATGTTTTTATAAAGGCTGTGGAGTGACAAAGTGAAAATTCCAGGGAGAAAAGTAAGGAAGAAAGTAAAGCCACAGAGCTGCATGGTGGGAGTCAGGTGACAGAGGTGAGGAGTTGGATAGGTTGGTGTCTCAGGTACTTGAATCTCTGGGGTAGTTTTCTTCTGCCCCCAAAGGCTTATGGGAAAGTAAATGTGAGGTCACAAGTGGAGAAAGGAAACGTCAGAAGAAAGACAGAACTAAGGTATCAGGTTAATGGTTTTCTCCCCCACGGGCAAAGGATGTTGTACCCTTTTCCTTAGGATTTTTCGTATGCATCTAACTGACTTTCCCTTGTTTTACCTAGTCTTGTAGCCTACCAAACTGACACTTCAAAGAGCAGCAAGTGCCTCTTGGAGAACATTGGGTGGCTTAGACAGGATGCAGTAATAATAATCTTAAACTGTACATTTTTAAAAATTTCTTTTTGTGTATAAGAAAAGTATAAGAGCTGTAGCTTAGCTCACTACTCTCCTTCCTTTTTACAGAAAATGCGTTGGTGTATTCAGAAGCTGATCTTTCTTACAAGGACAGATTGTTTAAAGCTACCTAGTATTGTAATCAACACTTATCCAAGGGCAGAATAGAGCTGATCAAAAGCAAATCTTGAATTCAACTTCAAATTTATATCTTCAGGAACTCTAATATTAATTGGTCTTTCTGCCCTTCTCTCTTAATTGCCACAGCCCCATGCAACATGAGGCTTGACATAGCTGGGAGGAATAGGGCTTTTTTTTTGAGACAGAGTCTTTGTCGCCCAAGCTGGAGTATAGTGGTGCAATCTCAGCTCACTGCAACCTCTGCCTCCTGGGTTCAAGCGATTCTCTTGCCTCAGCCTCCTGAGTATCTAGGATTATAGGCACTTGCTGTCACGCCCAGCTAATTTTTGTACTTTTAGTACAGACAGGGTTTTACCATGTTGACTAGGCTGGTCTTGAACTCCTGACCTCAGGTGATCTACCTGCCTCAGCCTCCAAAGTGCTGGGATTACAGGCGTGAACCATGGTGCCCAGCCAGAAAAGACCTTTTAAGTCAAAATATCCAATAATGTTCAAACTTGTCTGCTGAGATAGTATAAGTTAAATAGGGAAGACAGAAACTAATGCTTTGTAAACTGGGGCTTCCATTAGAACAGAGAGGTTCTGTGTCACCTGCATAGGGTAAGGCTCAGAGAGGTGTCCAACAGAATGGCTTTACAATTTTTTAGTCTCTCTTAGGTAGGTTTTTCAAATTAGACCTTCATTTTTAGAGTTGATATGTTACACTGTTATACTGAGTACGTCAGGCACATTAAACCCAAATGTAGGAATAGCATTCCAGAGCTTAATGTCAATGGTCAGAGATTAGCTAGCATTTTGGATTATACCCACTAGTACTTTCCATCTTAAGATGATCTGACATTTCTTTAGGGATAGACACCCAAGTTGTGTGCTCTTCTTACTGGCACATTTCAAGGTTATCATCCCACTTTATTTCTAGAAATAGTCATTTAATTTGCATATTTGTGACTTGTTTCATAAATCTCTTTGTTTTAAAAGCATTTCTTCTGAAGTTTCAAGAAGCACTTACTAGCATCTTGCTTTGAGAAAAACTGCCTAGGATAGAATCTTTTAACCTAAAATTAGGGGCTGGCTTCAGTGCTGAGAGTTTTTAGATTGATATGCCAGTAATTTCGGTAACAAGTTATATTATAGTTTTTAAATCCTGTCCTAAAGAGTAGAAAAGTCCAAAAGGTAAATAGCCAAACTCTTTCCCACTTAATTTTTATGATTTTGTGTCTGTGTTTTAAGAGGAAATAAATCCACTTACTTCTCATTCACATTAAAACGAAAATGTTCATAAAAGCTCTTTAATGCTCAAGAAGACTTCATGAGCCTTTTAGAAAGAGTGTTGAGCCTTTTGACATTGTTCCAGTTTCTATTTAAAATGCAGAGCTGAGTTTTGGGAAGAATTAACTCTTGAGAGGCAAAATGGTTCAAGTAGGGCTGTCAGAAAGCCATACTCTGTGAGAGGAAAAGAGTTTTCACAATTCCAGTATTACTAAGGACTCTGGTCAGTGAGGGAATTGTGGCCTGGGATTTTGTGGTTTCTTAAAAATCTGTACACAATTTCTCAGCGTGGTTCTGGTAGATTGAAATGTCGTAGTACCACCAAAGCAGAGCAGATTTCCATCAAGAACATTCTCCACCATGCTTTTGAAATTTTAAAAAACTTGGCCTTTTCACTTCTTGAGGGATTTTCAGCTAATCTGTTTTTCAGTACCATATTAATAAGCATCGTACAGAATTATTAAACTTGAGGTATGTGTTTGGTTTTAAGGTCCAACCGGGATATTAGCCACCTCAGAGTCCAAATCCATGCCAGTGTTGGGTTCTGTATCCAGTGTAACAAAAACAGCCTTGAACAAGAAAACTCTGGAGGCAGAATTCAACAGCCCGTCCCCCCCAACACCTGAGGCAGGTGAAGGGCCCCGTAAATTGGAAGGATGCACAAGTTCCAAGGTTACGTTTCAGTAAGTAATGACGCTCTTTACTAAGTGGTGTATAGAAGAATCTGTAATGACTAACTTGTGTGTTTCTTTGATTTGTGTCTCTTTAGAGAGATTTTGATTTGGCTCACCAACAAATTCTCTTCTTTCATTTGATGGGCCAGCTTTTCATTCTAGGGTTCTAACTTAGAGATCTCATTCAGATCCAAAGCAGGTACCATGTACAAAGCTGAGCTGAGTTTTGGGAAGAATTAACTCTTGAAAGGCAAAATGGTTCAAGTAGGGCTGTCAGAAAGCCTTACTCTGTGAGAGGAAAAGAGTTCTCACAATTCCAGTATTAATAAGGACTCTGGTCAGTGAGGGAATTGTGGCCTGGGATTTTGTGGTTTCTTAAAGATGGGTACGCAGTTTCTCAGCGTGGTCCTGGTAGATTGAAACGTCGTAGTACCACCAAAGCAGAGCAGATTTCCAACAAGAACAAGTTTTACTTCCCCTAAACTGGTTTGGTAATCAGGTTCTTCTACACACACGCAAAATTGATCTGGATGATACTGACTGCATCAGGAGACACTTAATCAGTCTTTTGAGATTAAATACATAGATCATCCCTCTTAATGGTTCATGAGCAGCTCAAGAAGATACTAGATCTTTTAGAGGCTACTTAGAAGGGCATGTTTTTACAACCTTTTCCAGTCCTCAGTTAAAGATGTGTCTAATATTGCTCTATCCTGAAAATGAAAACATACGATGTAAAGAGTTATCTGTATAGACTCGCTTCAGAGTGGCACTTTGATTGTCGAAGAGTTAATCCTGCTACTGAATGTGTTTCAGACAGATCTAGTGGAGGATCAATTTGTTTTATAACAATGGCAGCTCTTTTTGAAATTAGTCTACAGTTTTGCTTTAGTTCTCTTGCCAGGATGTCAGCTAGTTTGTCACTTAAAGAAAAGGAAGAGGTGAGACAAATCAGATCAGCTGAATGTTGTAATCATGGTTAATTAAACCTCTGATTTCCCATCCTATCAAGAGAGAAAGAACCCCCCCCCCCTTTTTTTTTGTAATTCTAGCTGTCTTAGCTCAAAAGGTGAAACCTGGACAAATGAAGTTGAAATTCAGTTTGGATCTATTTTTGCCAACTGGTATTTTCTTCCTCTCTTGCATTCTCTCATTGCTGCTATTAACTTTTTTTTTCTCTTCAGGAATGAATGACCTTCTTTGCTGATTTACTGAATTTACTTTACTGATTTACTTCTTTGCTGAATTAATTTCATTGTATTTAAAACCACATTTTCCCCTGTAGTCATGTGTTTCTTTTCTTTTGACTAGAGTCATTTGAACACTTCTAACAGAAAGATGATCTATATTCATTCTCCATCTTTCCTATTAAATTTGTTTAACACTAATTTGACATCAACAGTCTGGCTACATTTGAACCAATATCCAGACACAAAAGCAATTTCACTGAGACAAGTTAGTTTCTGATAAATGCTTCAGTGTGTGTATATAGATTTTTTTCCTTTACCGCTTTACACAGATAATCTGAATCAGAAAATACTGCAACTCCTTCCTCCTTTTGTCTGCCTTTTATTCTCCAAAAGTAAGTGGAAATTACATTTCCAAGAAAGGAAATGAAATAATTGCAGGCCCAAGGTCTGCAAAATGTGTGTTGAATTGACAGTGAAAAGGATCCGTGTGTTGACAGACACAGTTGTTAGATGCCATAAAGGCGGATGTGAAGCTCAATTTATTTCTCATCTTGCTTGTTCAATGACTGCTTAAGAGACACATTTCAATTTAATTTATCTACTTAAAGCTCTAATACAAATGCTGTGTATTGCTGTATTAACTTTTAAACTTGGTAACCTAATGCTTCATTCAGTTCTTGACATTCTTTAGCTAAATAAAATAACTGTTGCAGTGTATTTTCATACTGACAGCCATTTATCAAATAAGAGCACCTTTCTGGAAAACTCTGTTTCTTAAATACAATTAGACTATACAGATTGAGATTTTTGTGTATGTGTAGGGTAATTATTTACCCAGATAGGCACACTTCATTCATATGTTAAAACCTTTTAATGACTAAAAGAAGTTTAACTTAATGTAGTTACATGTAAACTTTAAAAGTTTCTATTATTTGTCAGAATCCTCTGAAACTGGCCTAGCTGCCAGGAATGAGAAGGGTTATTTTCAGTGGTGTTTCTGGCTGGCTTAGTACTAGCTAAGTACTTAGTACTGGCTAAGTACTCTATTATACTAACCACATTGTCTTACCTCATAGACTTGGCCTGTCGAAGCACTTTGAAGTCAGGTCAGCAATTAATAAGTAAAATATTTCCTTTGCTTTTAAAAACTGTCTTTGCATTCTAGTAGTTGCACTTTTATTTTGATCTGTGGCAACACCACCGTTAGTGTTTCCGGTCAGTGGTGCTATTGGCTCTTGACATGAATCAAGGTCAAGGGAGGATGCCAGTGACAGTCGGCTCTAATACAGACATTACTACTCCAACATATGTATGCATGCACTCTCTCTCGTTCTCTCTCTCTCTCTCTCTCTCTCTCTCTCTCTCTCACACACACACACACACACACACACACACAGAGTCAGCCTCAGCCACTCTAACTTCCCTTCCTCCCTCCACTTTGGCCTCTTTGTCCCAGTACCACTTCACCCTAGGCCCTTTGCTTTTGCCGACCCCTCTGCCTAGTATGGTCTTCTCTGAGAGCTAGCTGCATGGCCTTCTCCCTCACCTCCATGGCTCTGTTGCCCAAATGTTATCCTCTCAATGAAGCCTACCCTTGCCACCCTATTCCAAATTGTAACCTATCTTCCCTTAAGCTCTGATTCCCCCTTAACCTATGTCATTTCTCCCTATAGCAGTTCTCACCTTCTAACTTACATTGTTTTATTTTTTCTCTCCTCTATTGGAATATAAGCTCCATGAGGGTAAGATGTTTTTCCTGTTTTGTCTACTGGTGTGTCTTACACACATGGGACAATTCCTGCCATATGGTAGGCTTTCAGTAAATTATTTTTTAATAAATGAATGAGCACATTTTTAGTGTCAATAAAACAGCGGAGTGTCAACTATAATAATCAGCATTCTCCTATTATTCAACAGTCACATGCACACAAGCTTGATATTAGAGATGTTTGTTTATTAGTTTTTTGATTGGATTATTTGGTTTTAAAACATTTTTTAAATGCCTGGGAACCATTTCTCTTCAGCTCAGTCTTGCATATCTTTTTTGACATTGTACCTACTCCAAATTAAGTTATCAGAGACAACACAATACTCAGTTGTAAAACAAAGATTGAGCTGTGCTCACTTGATTGGCCCAAATGGATCGGAAAATTTGCTAAACTATCAAGAAAGGTTTTAAATGTAAAAGTAAAGACAGGGCTGGGTGAGGTGGATCACGCCTATAATCCCAACACTTTGGGAGGCCGAGGCAGGCAGATCACCTGTGGTCAGGAGTTCAAGACCAGCCTGACCAACACGAGAAACCCTGTCTCTACTAAAAATACAAAATTAGCCAGGCATGGTGGCACATACCTGTAATTCCAGCTACTCAGGTGGCTGAGGCAGGAGAATCATTTGAACCTGGTAGGTGGAGGTTGCAGTAGCCAAGATTGCACCATTGCATTCCAGCCTAGGCAACAAAAGTGAAACCATGTCTCAAAAAAAAAAAAAAAACAAGTAGAGACAAAGATTTTTCTGCATAAGATCTTCACTTAACCAGAAAGTTAAATAACATCACAGTATACCTAGAAAGTTTTTTTCTTTTAATAAATTCCTGAAATAAGCGTATGAATATATTCCATATAATTGAGTAACTCCTCTCTGATAAATTATACAGTCAAGGATATACTGACTTATTTCCTAGGGACCTATAAGAAAGCAAGAAACACTTTTAATGCTTAATTATAAGGATTAATTAACTTTCTTGTCACCAACATATGCAAAGCAAGGGTTATTTTTTTTGTTTTTAAGAAAAAAGGAAAAGATAATCAGGGCTTGGGAAAGCCTAATTTATTCTGTTTCTATTTTAATAATAGTTTTAAAATGTGCTCTGTTAATTATGTCTAGTAAGTATATACCGTCTAGTCCTAATATCTTAAATCTCACAGCAAATATGAATGTTATGAATTCTGATTGGTTATAATTCAGATCAGAATTACACTCGTCATGTCCCTTTATGCTGTAAGTGGTAAAGGGCTGGCCAGGCGTGTTAAGTGTAAACCTCATTTTTGCTTTTACGCTCTTTCTCTTGATCAAGATTAAATCTGATAATATTAAAATACAGTAAGAGTCACTGATTCCAGCCAATCAATGGGTGAGAATCAAAGAGAGAACATTCTAAATTATAGAATTTTTAAAAGAAACTTTTACTTTCACACAGCTATAATACCTGGCAATAGGGTAATTAAGTATTGCCCAGGGTCAGAAAAACAAGAATGATTTGTATTTTAATTAATAAAAACCTGTAGACAGGAGTGGGAGTAACAAGGAAACAATGTGATTCATTTTCTAAACCAGTGCCTGGGTGCTGGGGACAGCAAGCAGCATCCGTTTTTTTCCAGGACTTGAACTCTTAATATCAGACAGAGTAAGGTTCAGATCCTGGGTCTGCCGTTTAGATATTTGTGCCCCTGGGAAAGTTATGACTGAATCCTGGTGTGTAAATTGACAATAGTAATGCCTGCCCTGTAGGGTTGTCATGTAAATTAGATCATATGGGAAAAGTATTTCAATAAAACCCTTTCCTATCTTATCTTAAAATTATGATGCTGGGATAATGATCATCAAGGACCAAAGCCAAGATACTGGACCCCCTGAGTTTTTGACTGGGCCAGATGACTTGGACAAGTCGTTTAACTTCTCTGGGTTTTGTTTTCTTTTTGTTACGTTTCTTCTCATCTAAAATCAAGGCAAGTAGATTATGTACTTTACAGAGTCCCTTTCAGCTTTTGAATCCCAGTAATTCCTAACAAATGTCGTTACTTGGTAAAGATCTTCACA